GATTTCAGTTGATTTTATGTTATGGTACCCAATTTCAGTCATTCATTTCAACTTTATTTCTTTTATATTTTTAACTAATAACGCACATTCAAGAGGTTTGATTGGTTTCAAACCAAACCAAACCTACATAATAGTTTTCTGTGTGAAACTGTTGTCTCAAAATTTTAAAGCCATACTATGCAACTTTTTCATATTTTGAACTGGTTTTCTTGAGCCATTCTTTTTGTCTTCAAACATTTTTTTTACTTCCTTAGTCTAGTTTCAGTTGCCAGCAATGCACACATTGTTGCCGAACACTTTAAATTAGCATCCTAGCCTGACACTAATTGTTATCTCTGTGTTTTTAGGTTTGGTAGAGAAACTTAATGTGTAGAACTAAGCAAGTCGAGTAACACCTGTTCTTTCACTCACACTTGCCCCTGTCCTGTTTCACTGTTCTGGTTCTGTTCATATCATGTTCCTCGTGTTCTCTATAAACGATTGCCACTGTTCTACACATCTGGATCACAGACATAGTGGAACAGAAATGATTCACATCTGAGTCACAGCCACCGATTTTTAACTGTGTGTGTTTGTGTGTGTCAAGCACAACTGCCCACGGCACAAACTTGGACCTTCTACTGAGTGATTCAAACCTTCCTTGGTTTTGGGTGGAGTTGCTCTGTGGTCACTCCTGCAAAAATCAACTAAATAAGTGGCAAACTGAGGCTTTATGTAAAATCACTGCAATGCAATTACTGTTTCATGTGTAACAGCTAACAGGTGAAGACAGACAAAGGCTCCGTGTTATCCCAGACTGTGACTACAGATGCATGATACACCACATTTGTTCATTCTGACACACACCGATGATAATTTATGTAAATTGGTGCATGTGTCATGTTATTTCGGAGTATGGAGCTGAACATCCTGGAATACCAGATGGGTATTCAGTCAGCCACGAGTGCATGCAGCTAGTATTATGAGCATGAATGTGTGTATGAGGTTAGTGTGTAAAGATGACTATATTGTAAACTACTTTCATTTCAGCAACTCTTCTAAATCCAGTTCACTTTATCTATAAAGCATCCATTCAGAACGTAGCCAATGGGGCAGTCCACCATACATTGTTAAAAAAGATGCAAATACATTATTTTTCTAAATAAAGTAAGTACCTCTATCTGCTCTTGACTCAAAGAAAAGACCAAATATAAATAGTCCAAAGTTGCCTAAGCCATTTCAAAAGAGCCACTGCCATCGTTGCTGTTTTGCTCAGTCACAGCAGCATTCTGCTCACCAAACCAATAGAGCTCTGTGACTGGCCCACCAAACCAAATAGAGCTCCACGATTGGTCCACCAAATGGATAGAGCTCTGTGATTGGCTCACCAAACCAGTAAAATTCTGTGATTGGCTTACCAAACCTAACAGAGCTCTGTGATTGGCCAACCAAACCCAGTCGAGCTCTGTGATTGGCCAACCAAACCTAATAGAGCTCTGTGATTGGCCAACCCAACCCAATCGAGCTCTGTGATTGGCCAACCAAACCTAATAGAGCTCTGTGATTGGTACGACTGTTCGGGCCTGCTAAGGCTCCAGTGGAGCGTGGCTATACCACCCTGCAGAGCAAATCCTTTGATCTCCTGCTACGGTCTGTCTAGATTCTAGACAAGGATACTAACAAGTATCCACAGATGAGAGTACAAGAACAAAACCCTAAAAGTACAGTTTTCTGAAGAAGCTCAAAAAACACAACCAAAGGTGCACTGCTTCAACTCTTATAAGACCAGTCTCATTGATAAGGTGGCGTCCATGACAGATATCCATCCATTTGTTTTCTATACCCGCTTTTCAATGCAGGGTCGAGGGGGGCTGGTGCCTAATTCCAGCTGTCTTCGGGCAAACTGGTGGGGTACACCCTACACCCTGGACAGATTGCCAGTCCATCTCAGGGCATCCATGACATATACCCAATCTAATGAGTCCACCACACAAGTCAAACAACAGAAAGACCCTATAGATGACTTCCCAATACATCATAGAAGAGCCCACCAGAGGTTTTTTTTTATTCCTTAGTATGACTTATGACAGATTAGCCAACAATGCCTTCTCTAGAACTGTACGTTTGTAGATTACTAAAACATTTATGAAAAGAGCTTAAATCAACTCATGTATGAGTACAGCGCTTTACAGGAAAAAAAATTATACACCCTATTTAATGAAATCTTGGCTGTGGATTTGGAGGAGGTTAGCAACAGCAAAAAAAAGCTAAATTAGAAAATAACATTTATATTAGCATTTTCTTCCACTTTGTGAAATTGTGTCAGTAAAGTTACAAGTCAGTGACAGAGCAGCTGTTTTCTAAGGTGCAACTCTGTGGGACATGAGGCTCTAATGTTACAATATGAACAAATGGTGGTCTGCAGACAGCAAACAAAACACAATTGTTATGACATTCAATACAGCGTCCTTACACACATGGTTAAACACTCCAGGTCCCTCTAATGCCACTTCAAACATCCTGGAGTCATATTTTTATCAACAGCAGCAAATGGATGTATGGAGGAGGGCTTACATTCGGGCCAAACAGGTACACAACATCACACACACACACAAGGGTACACATAAGTACGGTGAAGGAATTCAATTTAGTTAATCTGGTTGTTTAGTGATTTATAGCTTGTGGAAAATGGAGCAGAGAGTTACAGATGCATCAGAGTGAAACCTTCTGTTAGCCCATCTCTACTGATTAATGTGTTCACTATTACTTCTGTGTGTGTGTGTGTGTGTGTGTGTGTGTGTGTGTGTGTGTGTGTGTGTGTGTTCACATAGCCTGGGTGTGGATGTTTTGCCCACACTGTAGCTCTGGTCTCCATATCTGGTCACGACTGTTTTTCATCCGTGTGCCATGGAAAGGCAGAGTATCAGCATGGTGTGGCGCTGTGAGACTTTGATCATAAAACCATGGTAACGCAGATCTAAAGGCACAGTGAGAGGGTGAAGCAGCTGATATCTGGGTAATTACTGCTGCTGCTGTATTTCTAGTGCCAGTTACTCCACCAGAACCCTGATACAGTGTTTCGTTTTGATTATTGCAGGGATTACAGAAGAGCACCTTTTCTTTAATAGAGGAAGATTAGGAGCACTGTTGATGAAATGCATCCTAATTAGAGAAGTATCCCTGCAAGATAAAATGCATTTAAACATTTTAGGAGGGGTGGTTGGTTTTGTTTATGGTATGAACAAGCCAATATTCAATATGACTCATGCTGACTCATTATTAGCTCAATATCAGTAATAGGAGTTTTGATGCTGGCTGAGATGACCTGGGTTCAGTTCTAGTGGCCATGTTGAATCTTATTGATTCTAAAAGCCAAACTGTGTGATGGATCTTTTTCGGAGGGTTATTTTTTTTCATATTTTTATAAAATAATCTGATCTACCTACATTTTGGGGATCCGTTTGTACCAAGCACCTGCCTATTTTCATCTAATGACCACTAAAACCTATCAGTGTTCGTGTGTCGAGGTCTTTAAAAGCATCTTCAGTTATCCTTTAGGAATTCTTTCACAGCAATGTCACTTTACTCCTTTGAAGGAATAAAATCAAGCCACATCAGACTCAGTAATCCAAAAAAATGAATGGTACGAGCAGTGACTATCTCAGTTCAAATGGTGGACCCCCCACCCTCAATTTTCCCATCATACACAGTAACAACCCAGCAAATGGTCCAGAGTGGTCTGCCAGCCCAGTCCGCTGTTGATGGATCTCTGTCAGTCACCAGTGGCTGACCGAATCATACTACATTACTGAGGATTGACTGATTATACTCTCATTCCTAACCACTGCATTCCTCTAAGGATTGTAGTTTGTAACCACCATCTTTACATACATGCAGTCTCAGTCAATATGGTGGTTTGTGGTGATGGCTATCAGAGCAGAATCATCCATCTTTACCTTTAAGAAGATCTCAAAGTCTCATTTCATCGTAACAACTCAAAGCCTCTAACGGCTGGGTATACACACACACACACACACACACACACACACACACACAGAGAGAGAGAGAACATGTTTGGAGCTCTGGCCTGGTCTGACCCTGTCTCTGCATATATTACATCACATACTCAGTTATTTGTGCGTTTCGTGTAGCAAATGTGTTACTGTCAGCAGAGATGCAACAATTTACAGGAGCTATGCAGGGAAAGCAGAATCCCATCAGCACGCCTGTCTCTTCATTTCCACTGTCTTAGAGGGTTTTGATTTCTCCTCCAGTAAGCTAAGCCTGTTGAATTTTGTATTTTTATTTTTGTTTTGCATTCATGTCAACTACATAAAACACCTTCACCTAAACGCTGAGTGGAAACACATCTTAGTTAAAACAGTGTGAGGCCTGAGCATGTGGCAGTTATTAATTCAACCTTTTATTAATTTATCCGGTTGGATCTCCTTTAATAATCATTTAATCCACCTTTCTTATAATTACAGCTGAGGACTTAAACATCACACTCCCGTTCTGTGGACCTATTCATTTCTAACGAGTTCCAGCTTATAATTACATCCATGGAGATTAACACTAAGAGAAAAAAGAAGGAAGCACACATGCACACGCACACACACACACACGCACACACACACACACACACACACACACACACACACACGCACACGCACACGCACACACACACACACACACACACACACACACACACACACACAGCAGCTGATGAAGCTAGATAACATAGTAGGATTCACACCAGCAGCATCAGCCAGCTGTAGTAAAATGCTAATGGAGGTTTCCCTGCGTGGGCAGATCCAGCCTCATTCAGAAATGTGTGGCAGCAGCAGGGATTCAGGATTGGAGAAAAAAAGTGTTACAGCGAATCGGGAATACTGGACCTTCTGAAATCCTATTCACACATTAAGTTGCAATATGATCACTGGTGATTTAATGAGGTCCCGTCAGAATGCCTGGCAGCTGTGAGCTGATGCAGAGGTGAGGATGAGGGGAAGGATGCTTACCTCTCCTGGTCTGTCTGATCTTTGGGCTCAGCATGGTTGTCATGGCTCGTGCACACGCTCTCCCGTCGGCATGTTCGTATACATCCAGTCGGCCCACCCCGTGTCTCCCTCTGCCTCACTCCTCTTCTTCTCCCTCTGACCTTCTGCAGTGCGGCCGCCTGTTAGGGGGGTTGGGTGAACACGGGAGGGGAGGAGAATGGAAAGAGAGTGAGGGAGGAGAGGGAGAAAGGAGGAACTACACCTCTTTTTTTGCACACACAGTGTGTCCTCCACCCCTCCCCTGTTGCATTATTCATATACCCGCCTGTGGGAGATGGGGAGGGCACACCACTAGAGAAATGTTCTTCTTGGCAATGACTGCCACTTAAAAATAAAAATCTCTCTTATTGTAAATGGGAGGAAAAGTGGGGGTGTTCATCCGGCAGGTGTCTCCTCCCTCTGCAGCTCATTAAGCATCTGAGGTCCTCAGATAGTCTCCACCTACTTAAAGCCTAGTTTATCTCCATCCCCTCTCTCTCTCTCTCTCTCATCACTATAGTTAGAGCAACATTTTAGGTTTAAACCTTTTTCCAGAATATCTTGGAATGGGGCAAGGCTAAAGGGCAATCCTAAGAAAAGAAACCCGAAAACAAACAAGAGTGTGTGAGGCGTGTGACACAAAACCACGCTCTTCACACTGAAGGAAAAGTGAAGCCTCAAGATCAGCATCAAACCAGAATGTTCTAAAACAGGGGTGTCAAACTCATTTTAGCTCAGGGGCCACATTGAGGGAAATCTAGTCCCAAGTGGGCCGGATCGGTAAATAAAAAAAAAACTTCAGATTGTTTTCTTTGTTTTAATACAATCAATATAAAACAAGCCTGGAGCCTGAGGACAATGTAGTACAAGTACAACACCTGAAGTGGACTTGAAAATTTGAAAAAAATTTAAAAATCAACAAATAAAAAAACATTCCTTAGTGATTCAAAGAGCTTACAGATAACATGGCTAGATCACTTTCATGCATCACTTAAAGTATATTTGACTCATTTTACTTAACATCTTTTAGCTTTCACCAGCACATCAATATCAGAAGTCACATCCTGAGTGGCAGCCAACTTCAGGATGTGATTCTAGTTCTTGTGTGAGCCTTGAGCGCAGCTTTGTTTTGTTTATACTCATTACAGAGAAAACTTGCTCACAAAGATAAGTTTATTTTCACTCTACATTGTAAAGTATGAAAATAAAGTTTACACAACCATCTCGCGGGCCGGATTTAACCCGCTTGCGGGCCAGATGCGGCCCGCGGGCCGCATGTTTGACACCCCTGTTCTAAAATATGATCACTGGTTGTTTGGTAAGTTTATTTGAACTTAAGACAATGAATGCAGATGTCAGAGCTGTTACATATGTTAAATTATTACAATTATTAATTTATATTTTCTAATGAGATCATATTGTATGAATCTCTCCTGTGCTATAATAAATAATAAATTAATAGCATTGAGTAGTTAACATAATCATAATAACAATAATGACTAATAACACCAACAGTAATAATAACAACAATAATGACTAATAATAACACCATCTGTAACAGTAATAATAATAAAAATAATAATAACAGTAATAATAACAACAATAATGACTAATAATAACACCAACAGTAATAATAATAATAATAATAATAATAACAGTAATAATAGTAAGAACTAAAATAATAATAACAGTAATAATAACAACAACAATGACTAATAAAAACACCAACAGTACCAACAACAAAAACAATAATAATATTAATAATAATAATAATAATAATAATAACACCAACAGTAACAATAATAATAATAACAGTAATAACAACAATAATGACTAATAATAACACCAACAGTAACAATAACAATAATAATAACTACACCAACAGTAACAGTAATAATAATAATAATAATTACAGTAATATAATAATGATAATGATGACAATGATTAAAAACGAATAATAATAATAATAATAGTAATGACAGAAATCATGACCTTATTATACTAAACTAATACTGATCCTGTTATTATCCTATTATGCAGTTAACTATTGTAAAAGTGGGTTATCCTGAACCAGTGCCCATGACCCTCAAACACCTTCTTCAGTCCTATATTTTAACAAAATCATTTCCCTATATTTGATTTTAAATTGATGTCTGTTTGGACATTGCCTCAACTCATTCACTTCTTAAAGGCTGGCTGTTATCTCCAGATCTGAAACAAAAGTCAACGTAAATTCATAAAAAATACCCATCCATCCATCCATCCATCCATCCATCCATCATCTATCTATCTATCTATCTATCTATCTATCTATCTATCTATCTATCTATCTATCTATCTATCTATCTATCTATCTATCTATCTATCTATCTATCTATCTATCTGTCTGTCTGTCTGTCTGTCTGTCTGTCTGTCTGTCTGTCTGTCTGTCTGTCTGTCTGTCTGTCTGTCTCTGTCTGTCCGTCCGTCCGTCCGTCCATCCATCTAACTGTCTGTCTGTCTGTCTGTCTGTCTGTCTGTCTGTCTGTCTGTCTGTCTGTCTGTCTGTCTGTCTGTCTCTGTCTGTCTCTGTCTGTCCGTCCATCCGTCCATCCATCCATCTAACTGTCTGTCTGTCTGTCTGTCTGTCTGTCTGTCTGTCTGTCTGTCTGTCTGTCTGTCTGTCTGTCTGTCTGTCTCTGTCTGTCTCTGTCTGTCCGTCCGTCCGTCCGTCCATCCATCTAACTGTCTGTCTGTCTGTCTGTCTGTCTGTCTGTCTGTCTGTCTGTCTGTCTGTCTGTCTGTCTGTCTGTCTCTGTCTGTCTCTGTCTGTCCGTCCATCCGTCCATCCATCCATCTAACTGTCTGTCTGTCTGTCTGTCTATACTATCTAGTCTATCCTGTCTGTCTGTCTATATTTCCATTCATTCAGTCATTCACTCATTCATCTAAGTAATAGATAGCTAGATGGATGGATAGATCCATCAATTGTAGCAGCTTTTAATTGATTATTTTATGTTTCACCTTATTGAGGGTGCTCCTTATGTTAAAATGTGTGTTTTTACTGCTGCTGTACACCAAATTTTCCCGTGTGAGCCAATAAAGAACTGAACAATCTATCGACCCACCTCTCACTCCACCTTATCACTAAATGTGTCTAAGAAACTTGAACTCCTCCAAAGGAAGTAGAGACTCTTCCTCTGACCCTCTGATTGACATCCTGATCCATAATATTGATGCTCATCATCTTATTGATGACAAGTTGACACCAAGCTCAACTCCTAGAATCTTCTCCGTGAATTTCTTGAATAAAGCCACCCTGTTTGACCAGTGATCTGCCCAGGATCTGCTGGAGACACACACCAGCTCCCTGCATCGCTGAAAAGTGTTCAGATCAATCAGAAAATTGCCTGAAGTGATTAAAACCCACTTAGAAACCAAAGGAGAAAAAGCCAGTGGATTTATTCTTTATAATGTGTGCTCAGGTTTTTGCATGCTCATCAGAAAACATCTTAAATCTCCCACTCTGATCCTTCTGTGGTAGGCCTCACCCAGCTCGTTGCTGCTCGGGCTCTGTCGCAGCTGTTTTACCCTCCTCCTGTGTCCAGAGGATAATAGCCTTGGCTTCACTGCAATTGAATCAGAGCTGGCCTCACGTCAGCCACAGCTGCTCTGATTACAGAGTAAAGAGGGAGAAAGACCCGGAGACGGTGAAGGAGAGGAGGGGCATGTACCCCCCCCACCCCACCCCACACACACACACACACACCACCACGCACACACACACGATAACAAGCGGCTAAAATAAAGCTGACATCACACTGAGATTTTTAAAGTCAAGCTGACCAAAAGGAGGCTGACAGAAATGATGGAAGAAGCAATAAAACAAGGGAAAACCTGACAGAGTGACACATAAATGCACCAAGAATCCTAAATGAAACAGCAGTAAACTAATAAGGAAGAATTATCTTCAGAGCAAATGTTTGGGTTTTTATGGTGAAAGTGGTGCTGGGTGCGGTTCACACAGCTTTGTTCCCTAAGACTTCATCTCATATCATCTTACCTGTCGTGTTATCGCGGCATGGAAGGCTGAGCAGAAAAAATGGAGTCAGATGACAAAGAGGGAAAGACGTTTTAATACACACTGATATGCAGAAATCCAAACTGACATTCTCTGTTTTAATTCACCCACAACCGCAGAGCTCTTTCTGTACACATCACTGACACCATTATGGATTTAAACTGGCCCAAAGGTCAGGTTTGTACTTCTCTGGGACAGTGGGATAAAAATGTTGGATTTAAAACAGCATGGGGGAGTGGGACTGTCTGTTATTGGATATTTTTAAAATTGTAATTAAAGTTCTATTTGTTTATTTATGAATTCATTCATTCATTGGGAAAGCTGATCCAGACAAAGAGACTTGAAAAACCTCTTTGTCATTTTCAGACGAACAGACTTCATTCCTGTCAACGACCCAAATGTAGCTCCTTCTCTAGTCGTGCTGCTCATACTCAGTTAGATGCTTCTGGGTCAATCAGAAATGACTGGAACAAAAGATGTGTGTGTTTTGATTTTGAATACAAACACTCGGCCACACTGAGTCCCAGCGAAAGCGGTAGAAGACTTGTTTCACTTTCAGAATCGCATTTTAAAAACAAAAAGTATTACAGGGGTTTTGAACCAGCCCTTTAGGAAAATAGTTTCTCTTGTAAATCTAAAAATACTATATCCACTAATAATTACTGGAGAAACTAAGCAAATGCAGTTTTCTAACAGCTCTGGGATGATGAGGACGTTCTTTCGGTGTGGTGAACAAAAGAAGAAGCTCACACTTTACTGTTCCCACGATCACCTGTTGACGATTGTGACAAAAGAACCAGATCAGCGTCTAAAGCAGCTAAACTACAATTTTTTCTGAAGGGTGGCTGGACTCAGCCTTAGGGATTTGCACCTCTAGGGGCACTGGCCCATGCTGAAATCAGACCGGACCCTGAAGAACTCCTGCCCTGCCTTAAGCCTGGTTTATGCTTCTCTGTCAGCTCCGCAAGGGACAGACACGCACGGATTGACGGAAGCGTTTTGCTCTTTTATTCTCCGTCTCCTGGAGAGTGTTGCAAAGCAATTGCCCGGCAGGACAACAGAGGGCGTAGCGCTGTTCTGTGGTATCCTGTCATGTATCGGTCCAAGATGGTGTGTTTATATCGTGTTTTTTGTGTATATAAGAGACTTTTAACACGGACATATTTGTCTCTCATTCTCCCACCTCTTCATGCGCTCCCCACCTCTAAACCCAAGTTTCCTGTCATTTCCGTCCACAGATAAAACGCTTGCTGCGCATCTTTTCACTCCTCCAGTCACGGGAGGATGAAACGTTCATATTTTTAGAGTTTTTTCGCGAGGTATTCTTCAAGCTTCTCTGTGTCTACCGCTAGTTAAACTCGGCTCTTTTTGCAATGGCGGCGCTGTAAACAGCGGCGTCCTGACCAATCACAAGCTTGCGTAATCCGTTTCATTCGACGGATGTTTAAAAAGTGGGCTCGACTCCATACGTACTTGCGTGCCTGCCGGAGCCCTACGCAAGGACGGATAATGGCGTTGCGTGTCTCCGCACTGACGCAGACGGAGAAGCATAAATCAGGCTTTAGTTGTTCTTTGCAGAAAGATCAGATTACAGGAGGATGCAATTCCAAGTCTAAACACTGGTGGTGCTAATGAGCCAAATACAATTTTGGGTGTTTTTTTCACCCACACACTGTAAACTAATAATATTTGTGATTTTCAAAGACTGAATGTAATGGTGACATTTATCTAATGATGTGTGTGCTATGTACAGCAAAACTGTAACTTTACATAAAAGTTCAAGTTACTACACGGTATGGGTCGTGAAATATATCTACCTTAACACAACTAGGAATTGTGTGTAAGGATGTTGGACTAATATTTGGCCCCTCTATAAATAGTGAGGCCCCTTGATGACCACCCCCCTCAGAAAAAAACTAGATCCGCCACTGAGATAACATGAGAAGGTATTTCTTCTGAGGAAGCTCAGAGAGAACCTGCTGCTCTCATTACAATCGAACCTGCAACCTTCCGAAAACTGGACAACCCTTTGGACAACCCGCTCTACCTTCTGAGCTACTGCTGTCAAATGAGAAATTTCAGGCATTTGATTGAGATGCCTTATTTTAACCTGATTCTGGAAGCTTTACTGGGAGGATTCCCGGTTGGATTGCACAGAAATCTACTGTAGAACTGGACTGAATTGCTTGTACACGGTTATATATGAATTTGGACCTCCTCTGGTATGAACAGGATTTTTCACTTTTTGAGATGATTTTGTTCTGAACATGGGGCAAACTCTGCCTGTCAAAAGTAAAGTCCAACGCAGAAGTGACAAAAATTGCAGCTCCCATCTTATCCGCTATGTGCTGGCCTCGAAACAGATAAATGTCCAGTCGACTCTCATGTTAAAAATGCCAAATCACAGGAAGAATAAACGTGTTTACAACCTGGTACAAAAAAAAAACATTTTATGTTTAAATAATAATCCCATAGGTAAATCCTGTAAGTAAAATTCTATTTCTTTACTTTGATTCACTGCTTGAAGGGTAAAATGCTTTGCATTTAACATTACGCTGCAAGGTCAAATGGGTCAAAATATGACGTATTGGATGGGCTAGGTACAGAAACTACATGCTATGACCACCCAGCTCTGAAAGCGGAAAGCTGCAGAGCGAGGCTAGCCATGCTGGCCGTCTGTAGAGACCTCTGAAGGAGACCAGTTTGATGTGTGCTTCACGTTAGAGTCAGTCACCTGCGGTTTTTCTGGCTAAAAGCTCCCACAAACCTCCTTCAACTTTGGTTAGATCAGTTAGTTCATAGTTACATTGGCTCAGACTTTGATGGGTTTGAATCATCTGCCCACATCCTCACAGTTTTTGTACTTTGCCAGGCATAAGACGTATGACACGGCCAAGATGGTGGCGGTGGGAACTGCCCACTTGTCTTCAGTTCTGCTCCTCAGAAACCTACGGGTGATGGCGGGGAGGGTTGGTCCATCTTACATGTACAGTCATTGGTCCTGATTCAGTGCTAAATACCTGAAGTGGCTTGATGGCTTTTGTCTGACACTTGAGGTCACGTGACGTCACCAGAGACAATCCTCAAGATGCGAAAATGTCTTGCAGAATCGACAATGTTTAGAAAACCTGTTAAAATATTGATACTGACCATGATTAAAATTTCATAGCCGTGCCGGTGGACTGTTCCAAAATCTAGCCACGGGGCGACTGCTGGAGGTGTGACTGTTGACTTAGCATTACTTATTGATCATGGCTGTCTGAAAGTGTTAGCCGACATCTGCAGAGGTTCCCCAGATACATAAGCTGCACTCATTTTAGTATCAAAAGCAAATTTCATTTCTGGGTACGGTTTGCTTTTAAAACAAACACCGTTGGTGAAACTCACACCAACGTGATGGGATTAGATATTTTTTGACATTTAGTAAATATTAAAGGTTTTTGTTTCTGATAGATTAAAAAAAAGGAAAGGGTAAAACTGGAGTGTTTGAGATGTGTTTAGACTTGTATCCACTAATGGTTAAAGAGCAGCAGACAGGATCATGTGGTGTGTGTATCAGGCCATTTAACTGACTTTTCTCACTCTGTGGTTTAACAATCTGGGACACCTGGTCCATGTCCTTGATGGCAAACCAATTTTAGTTTGGAAATAAGGAAAACAAAAAATGGAAAAAAAGTTGGTTCTTAATTATTTTTGCTAATTTTGTAGTCTAGTTTTGCAGTATAGAAACCGTCTACAAAGCACCGTCAAGGTGTGCTCTCAGATCATTGGACTACCACTGCGAAACCTAACTTCTCAGTGTGACCAGCATACAGGAAGTTTAGCACAGAAATTCATTAAAGACCCATCACACCCTCTTCATATTATTTTAGGGTGGCTGCCCTCCAAACACCGACTTCGATGCCCATGCTGTAAAACACAGAGGAGGAGAAGTTCCTTTGTTCCCAGAGCTGTGCTTCTTCTTATTTCTTAGTGCCGATAGGGGGCGTGTGCATTACTTGTATGTGTGCGTGCATGTAGTTACATGTATGCATGTGTATTTGTGTGTGCGTGCGTGTGTGTGTGTGTGTGCGTGCGTGAGTGCGTGCGCGCGCGTGCGTGTGTGTGTGTGCGTGTGTGTGTGTGTGTGTGTGTGTGTGTGTGTGTGTGTGTGTGTGTGTGTGTGTGTGTGAGCCAAAGGTTTACTCATTGTTGGTCATTCACATGTGAGGTTATGACATGAATGCGTACAGTATATAGGTTTTATGGGTTTTACGAATGTGTAAATTGGTTGGGTTTTTAGAATTTAGAGATTTTAGTGCTGGCTTCACAATGCTGTCTCAAATTGGCCCTCGGGGACTAATAAAGTTGTCGAGTCTTCAAGAAATTATCCATTTTTCATTTTCTTGAATGAAAAGCCCTTGCTTGGTAAGTGCAAGAACCAACCGAGCTTTTGTCCCATGTTTTAGAAGCTGTGAAGGAAGAATAACACCAATCCCTGGGTTTTCTGATTTTATTTCTACATGTGGAAAGGTGGAGAAACGAGGGTCCCGGCAGGATTCGATCCCTAGACTCCTGGGTGAGAGTCATGCGCACTAACCAGTTAGCCAAAGGGACATCCCCTTGGCCAAGTAGCCAGGGCGCATGATCAATCAGGTCACAGTGACAGGACGCTCACACTGCCACATACATGATAGACAGGCTAGCTCTATGATGTTAGGTTTAAAAATAGCTACCGTATTTTCCGGACTATAAGCCGCTACTTTTTTCCCACGCTTTGAACCATGCGGCTTATAATGAGGTGCGGCTTTAGTCAACCAGAAAGGATGGATGCTGGAAAGTCTAATGAAGGAATGGATAAAGGAGCGCTACGGAAAGCGCACAGGAGGATTTTTTTCACAGTAAAACGGCGCTGCTTGTTTTCCCAGCTTCACCCCGGGATGATGACAGCAACACGGAGAGCTACACTGACATCGCCACAGAAAAGGTATGTGACAAAGCTCTTCTGAGGCTGTTCAACTCCGACACTGAAGAAGATGACTTGAGTGATTTCAGTGCGCAGGAGGACGATGAATTAACTAATCAATAACTTTTCTGTTTTGTTTGATACTGATCAGTTCAGTTACGTTCAGTTAAACTACATTTTCAATTCAGTAGATATCTGCGGCTTTTAGCCCGGTGCGACTTATATTGAGGTGTTCTCTATAGTCTGGAAATTACGGTAAAAAAGCCTTGTTTGTTGTTCTGTGTGTACTTGTCTGTCCATGCACCTTTTAAATCAGGATATTGTTGGTTTTATCATCTACAGCTATAAATACAAAGGTCTAACAGTCAGCTAATTAGCCCATATTTTGTAGCCTTGAGGACTCTGTATACTGATAAGATTATTTTTTAATGATCACCTTGATAAATTATTATATATATATATATATATATATATATATATATATATATATATATATATATATATATATATATATATGGGGGGACGGTGGCACAGGAGTTAAGTGCTCACCCCGTAATCGGAAGGTTGCAGGTTGGAGCCCCACTCAGTCTGTCGCTGTCGTTGTGTCCTTGGGCAAGACACTTAACCCACGTTGCCTGCTGGTGGTGGTCGGAGGGACTGGTGGCGCCAGTGCTCGGCAGCCTCGCCTCTGTCAGTGCTCCCCAGGGCAGCTGTGGCTACATTGTAGCTCATCCCCACCTGTGTGTGAATGTGTGTGTGAATGGGTGAATGACTGATTGTGTTGTAAAGTGCCTTGGGGGGTTCCAGGACTCTAGAAGGCACTATATCAAATACAGGCCATTTACCATTTATATTTCAGGGGCTCACTGGCCCCCCTCATACCCTGGACCCATTTGCTCCCCCCTATCGCCGGCCCTGCCTTTATGTAATTCGAATATGCTTGACATCAATATCAAACTAAACAAGAAAAGTTTCAGGTTAGAGTTTGCTGAGGAGAAATAATAAATTATGTTGATGAAGTTGAATGTATTTTCATGTACCAGAATATTTTTTGCTGAATTTTTTAAATATTTATTTAAACTACACTCCAAGAAAACTATGCTATTAAACTCTGAGCACATCCAACCAGAAGGAGACCTAAAGGAAGACCCAGGAGAGACAGCTGGCCAGGGAACACCATAGGATTCCCCCGGAGGAGCTGGCCCAAGTAGCTGGGGAGAGGGAAGTCTGGGCCTCCCTGCTTAGGCTGCTGCCCCTGCGACCCGACCCCGGATAAGCGGAAAAGAATGGATAGATGGATGGATGGATGGAGTATTAAACATTTTAAAGGATGGAGCTATTGTCTCTAAAATTATTGTTTCCAAAAAACATTAAAACATTCTGAAATCCAGGCTTATCTGGAGCCCATTAAGATTGTTTTTGGAGCTGTCCATACAGGTCTGATTGATCAGAGAGATCAAAGTTTGTCCCCAGGCAGCTACCAAGGATCCCCACAAACACAGCAGTCCTCAGGCGTGTGAACAACCTGACTGTGTGTTCCCAGATATTAGTTTTGGACCTATTTCTGTCTCAAAAGATTAAAAACCTACAAGCAATTAAAGTCATTAAAACAATCTGACACACTAAAAGAATTGATCCACCGCTGAGTAAGACACAAAATCTGAATATTTATACAATTTCCAGCAAGAAATCATTTGGAGTGACTGAATGAAGCAAGATTTAACTCTGAGAGCAGGTCTTTGCTGCCCTCCTGCCCAACATGACTGTCAGCACAGGCAGCCCAGGCTGACATCTTCCTGCCTTGTTAATCTGACACAATCTTCATCTCTTCCAATTTCTTAACCGTTTCCTTCTCAGTTTGACACTTCATCAGACATTCCTCACACAGATCGCTCCCTTTGACCAGGTGAAAAGTCCGTGGGGTCTCCACTGACTTCCGTCTGAATGCCCTCCTGGTCAGAAAGGGGTTCCGGTCCAAGCCGATCCTCACTTTGTCGCTTAGCTTGCCGAGGCAGTTGGGCACGACGATGAATTGGTTGTCGGAGAGGTTGAGAAAGCTGAGCTTCTTCAGGTTGCCAATAGAGGGGGGGAGAGTTTGCAGCTGGTTGAGTCCCAGGTTCAGGGTGTGGAGGTTTTTCAGCAGGCCCAGCTCTTTAGGGACCCTCATCAGGTGGTTGTTACTCAAGTTTAAAGTCTCCAGGGCCTGAAGGTCACCAATGGTGATGGGAAGCTCCTCTAACTAAAGAAGAAAACATATTTGTCAGGAACAGAAATAGTTGAGTGTTTTTTTTCTAAAGTTTAATTTCTATAAAAGGCCTACAGTATACTTACATAATTGCTGTGGAGATCTAACACTTTGATGCTCATGAAACCTCCAATAAAATCTGGAATTGTTTTTAACAGGTTCCTGCTCAGGTTCACTTCATGCAGGCTGCCCAGTTTCTGAAGGGACTGTGGCACCATATTGATCTCTTTGAAGCTGAGGTTCAGGCGACATTCGCCATCTGGCATGAACTCTATGCATCTCTGAACCTCTTTCCAAGTCAGAGTCTTTCTTTTAGTCTTGCTGACTTTCTTTCCTTTGTCCATTTTACTCTAGAAAACACAAAACCAAGGAGGAAGCGAACAGATTTCAGAACACAGTCTGGGCTGTAACTGAGGATAGAGTCGAGTTAGCCCTAGCTTGGACAAATGATAACTATTTGGTGCTGTTTAGATATTTTTCACGGAGCAATGATTGACCACTCTGAATTGCATAACATGACATTTTCTTCAACCCCGTCAAGATCATCTACATTAACGACAGAAAGGAAAAAGACAGGAAAACGTTTGAGTCAGAAAGAGAAAGTCACTTTTGCGTTATTGAGAATACTATCAATCATGGCCTCACCAACCTGAGCACAGGAAGGGGAGAGCAGACACGCCTTGGCTAGGAAAAGCGACCTATTAGCGTGTGGCGAAACAAGTTTCACATCATGATGTGATATTTGTGAAAGAAAACATGTTTTATATTGTTCTGAGTTTTCTTAACAAAGGCAGTGGAAGAGTCACTTTTCTTTTAGCCAATCAGGTACAAGATGTTTGCACATCAACTTCCTTCTATCGCTGAAACAGGAGTGTGAGAGCTTTTTTCTACAGAAAACGGCTCACAGGGCATTCATTAATAGTGACCACAGCAAAGTGTTTGACATAACAAGTAAATGAATCCATTAAGTGCCAATCAGAGCAGGCTTTCAAAAGAATTCAAACTTTTTTTTACCATGAGCTGTGTGTATCCCTTTCAGATCTGATTAAAAGAAATAAAATTTAAAAAAAAAGATGAAGAATAGGAAATTCTGTATTTTCTCCACAATACAGCCACGCCAGACCTGCATTTGTTTTCATGTGTTTCCAGGCAACGGTTGTCTGGCCTGAGAGACATTGTCCAAAGCAGCCAGAGAAATAATGGAGGGATTTGATTATTCTGTTTATGTGGTTTTTATATTGATTCACTTAAAAAAATTTAAATAAAAACTCCAACTAAAATTGATATTTCTTCTGCCCAGATTGAAGGAGCCTATACGATTTTGTCTTTAAATGACAGTTCAGATAGGTTGTGTCTAAGAAAGGTTTCTTAACAGAAATAAATGCAGTTTTAAGGAACTGTTAATCAAATGGTAAATTAATGGAGTTTATTTGCAATATATATATATATGTGTGTGTGTGTGTGTGTGTGTGTGTGTGTGTGTGTGTGTGTGTGTGTGTGTGTGTGTGTGTGTGTGTGTGTGTGTGTGTGTGTGTGTGTGTGTGTGTGTATGTATTAATGGCCCTCTTTTGGTAATTCTTTCTCAAACACAAAAATACAGCTTGCTTGCAATGATTTAAAGGGACATTATGGAAGTTTGACAGCCAAAATATGTATAGAAATAATACATTCTCCTGCAATGCTCTGGTCCTGTAGAATAAGCCTGTCACGCGTGCCGTTGAATGAAGCCGAGGTGAGGCGAGGATCCAGACTGGGGAGGAAACAGGCAGACAGGTAGGATTTCTTACACTGACTTTATTCTGACCCCGGCTTTCCACGGGAGCCGTCAGCAGCACGTTACTGCAGCAGCACGTCATAGCTGCTGATAGGAACCGCTGTGGTCAACAGAACCTTTTCCACTGGAGCCGTCAGCAAGCGCGAGTCGGCCGCGTCTCAGGAGCAGCATGTCGCGGCCTTTACGCGCCGGTTCTATTTTCTACGCGCGACGCCTCTGAAACGGGTCAAGTTCGACATTTTTGGGGAAGGAAAGACAGGAAATCTGACGCGGAAATTGAGAGAAGCTCCCGAGATTTTCAGAATAAAGAACGTACTGCCTTTCGGTTGCTTTACTTTAAAAAAAGTTACTAACTGTGCGGCCCGTGAGAAGTTATCACCTAGCTAGCGGTCTCCTTTGTTTTTCAGGTCCGTATTGGCGATTATAAAACGGACAGAACATAAAACACAAACCATGTTGTAGTTTTCTCCTGCTTGTTGTTGTGTTTACTGACGAAATCACTCGTGTGACTTCGTGCTCTGTCGGTGACAGCTGCTCCCCTGCTGCTTCGCGTCTCGTGGGAAGGGCCAAGCAGCAGCTTACGCGAGCAAGACGTGCTGCTGCAATAACGTGCTGCTGACGGCTCCCGTGGAAACCCGGGGTGAGACACGCTGGACAATGAAACAATGGACCGACACAAGACACAGGACAGAAGGGGCTTAAATACACGAGGGCAGGGAGCTAAGGTGATTGGGAAACGAGAGGCAGGTGGGAGCAATTAACGAGACACAAGGCAGAACCAACACGGGGAGACAGGACAGTGTGTGACAGAGCCCTGGCATTTTTACTGTGATTGCCTGTTTTTCTGTAAAAAAACTCAGAAAAAGAGAGCTGCTCAGGTCGAGCAGGCTGCTTCATGCGCGTTCACGCTCAGGCATAGCCCGTAGCATTTGCTATCCGTAGCTTTAGCAGCAGAGAGTGAGGCAGTGCCAACTCAGCGACTTTGTCGCTGTTCCTAACGCCTAGTGATGAACCTAGCCACATTTCTGAGGACCCTTAGCTACTTTCTGTAGAACTTTCTTCTAGATATTTCCTGCAAATTAGCAACAAAATAGCCATTTTCACATTGTTATACATTGTTTCAGGTATCATCAAGGATATAAAAGTTACAGATAATGTGAATGTTACTAGTGTGGCTCACCTTGTAAGATGTCTGACTCCCATGCAGAAGACCTGGGTTCAATTCAGGATGTGAACATAGTTTGTTTAGAGTTTCTTTTTTACATTAATGATATATTTTTTTTACAGTAAGATGCCCAAATTTTATTTGAGACTCGCCGAACGGCATTGAATTCACAGATAAAAAAGATGTGGGTTCAACTTTCATTTTGGAACAATTTTTCAAGCAAGGGAAGGGAATGATCTGAGCATGCAGGAGGACTGACCCATCATAAACTTTTGTCAGCTGTGCTGAAGAGAAAGGTACAGAACCAAATTATTTAATTAATTAGCTGCGCGTTCTCCTGTCCTCTGTCCTCCGGGCCACACACACACACACGGGACTGTCTCAGCTGTTATTTTCGTTAAGGGGTGTGCACACACAGCAAGTGCGCCTGGTGCACGAGCCAACTATTGAAGCTGCCGTTACACTTTTGGCCTGAGGGGGCAATCGCGAGCATAAAAATTCAAAAGTCCGTAAAGTCCCTTTAAGTATCTACTGTCCCCTTTCGTCAGGGAACATACACACAGTCACTTTAAATCTCTTAGTAACCACTGATTTCACTTGGATTGAGTTTTTTTAATAATTGGAGGAAAATTAGAGGTAATTATGTTTTTTTATCTTAACACATGATCAGGCCTAAATAGGAAACTTCAGCACCTAGCTACAGAACTACAAATATTTCATATCATATGTCCTCTGGTGGCCACAGGGCGAGACAAAGCCTGCGCGACCTTTCTGCGCGGAGTTGCGTGTTCTCCCCATGCATGCGTGGGTTTCCTCTGGGTACTCCGGTTTCCCCCACAGGTCACAACATGCCCTATAGGTTATACATTGTAAGTCGCTTTGGATAAAAGCGTCTGCCAAATAAATAAACATAAACATAAACTTAACAAAGTCCATGGTAGACTTAGAGGCATTTTCCTCCTTATGATCAGCATAAGTTAGCAATTTCTAATAAAGCATGTCAGATACAAAATTATTGGTTTTTGTTTCTAGAACAATAAATAGCCAAATTCATCTAACACCCCCCTTACACACACACACACAATCAATCAATCAATCAACCAAAGCTTTATTTATAAAGCACACTGTCGGGAAGCCCAAGGCGCTGAACACGGTACATGAGAAATGTGAACAATGTTGAATAAATTGATAATAAAAACAATTCAAATTGTGCAGAAAAGGTAAAACATTAAAGTAGAAGACAAATGGGTAAAACAAGGGATAAAGAGACCAATGAAAGCAGGGAAACAAAATCAGCATAAAAGAGGGCCCAACTCAAACATGTTCAGGAAACTCCAAGCGGAGGAGGTGGGTTTTACGTGACACACGCACACGCACACACACACACACACACACACACACACACATTCAAACAGACACTGACACTATCAACAGTTTTGTTTTAAACTGGAGAAACTTTATTTATGTTTTGATTCAACAATAAATGTGTGTATACAGGTCCTTCTCAAGAAATTAACATATTGTGATGAAGTTCATTATTGTCTGTAATGTACTGATAAACATTAGACTTTCATATATATTAGATTCATTACACACAACTGAAATAGTTCAAGCCTTTTATTGTTTCTGATATTGATGATTTTGGCATACAGCTCATGAAAACCCATTTTTTTGTTAAGCACTTTGACTTACATTCATTGTATGATTAAGTGCTATATAAATAAAGTTTGATTTGATTTGATTTGATTTAAGGTTAACTACCATAAATCCCCTAATATTGGCCTGTATTCCATTACTGGCCGGGTCTCCTACATTAGCCGGTCTCGCTGTCAGCGGGGTAAATAAAGGACGGTCTCTAATTGTGGCTGGCTTTTTGGAACAAACCCAGACGCAGCTTTGATAACTTTAATATTGTGCCCGTCTGGTGACATTGAGAAAAAAAACTTGTGGCCACAAGATACACGCAGAGTGCGCGTTTCGATGCTGCGTCAGTGAGGTGAAATCACTGCAGCACGCGATGAGCGGAGCGCGTCAGGAACGATTAAAAGACAGAGTACAAGAGGATTTAAACAGATATGAACGATCATGTGTTAATAATAATGTTGTGTTGCACCACCTTGAGAATGCATTGTGCGTTGACGCAGCAGGCGCACCAACGATCAGCACTCTGCGTCTTCTCCGCTCAACAGAGTCCCGCTACGCTGAGAGTCCATAAATATTGTAATGTAGGCAGAAACTGGATCTGTCCCTGAAAGATATCTCCCCCATAGCTCGATACCTGCTCCTGAATGAAAAGCCGGACATTTTGATCAATGTAGGACCCCCCCCCCCCCCCCCCCTCACTAATTGGTTTTGAGTTTTCCCTCTGCAGGTGGGCGTGTCTGGAAGTGGGGAAGCTGCAGGTCATCTGCTCATCAGCCGGCCAGGGATACTTAAGCACCTGAGAAATGCCTTCACTTCGCTGGATGATTAACTTGATTTTGGTATCACCAAACAGCCAATTCAGAGAACTAGCTTTTGAGCTTTTCTGCTCTTTTGAGTATTTTGATACAAGCTATAGATTTTGTATGTTTGACCTCCTGTTCACCCTCTCTGCAGACATCGCTCCACTTCTACCTCAGACAGACAGCAACCTGGAACTCCTCGTCACCCCACTCGTCTCTCGGTACGTCCCTGGTCTCCCCACACCCAACAGCCCACCTAAACCCGCCCGGATCTACACCAACCTCCATGCTCAGCTCCCTCCACCTAAAACGCTCAGGAACCCTGCCGCAAGTAAGCTCCTAGACCTCAGACCAGACCCACTTCCCTCTCGAGTCATCTACATTTCAAGACCATAAGTCCTCTCTGACCAAATATCTATCAGTCATCTTGTACCGGACCTAACACCCTCTGTCTCCAGATCCCCCCCCCCCCCCCCCCCCCCCACCGGAATCCTGTCCGAAGAACTCAGCTTGACTTTCTCGCTGCTCTTTTAGTTTCCCTTTTAATAAATTATTGTTTTTGAAAATCTCACCCTGGTTTGTGGACTGATTCCTTATGTCGTGGATTAGACTATTGTCACACATGACACTATGAAGCAGTTGTAGTCCTTCACAGCAGGTGGTACTGGTACCTCTACTGCTGTGTGTTTTCCCCCGACCTTGGAAGACCTTTTTACTGTGTCCCCTGAGAAGGCAGTGTACAGAGTGGAGCACACACTCACCTCACTGGTGTCCATCCATTTTAGAAAAATGAGAGCTCCCTCTCTGATCCACCTGATTGATCCTCGTGGAGATTTCTTTGTTAGTGCATTCATTATAGTTATTGGGATGCCAATTCTTGTGTCCCGAAATGTCCCACAGGCTCCAAACCCCATGTCATAAAGGTGGCGGACCAGAGCTGGGCTGGTGTAAAAATTATCACAATAAATATGATATTCAGATCCCAGGTAGGGTTTGTTGATGAGTGACATCACAGCATCAAATGACAGCCCTTTCCCACTATTCAGAGAGGACCTCCCTGTGTAGATGCTGAAGTCAACAGTGTAGCCTGTGCTGTCAGAACAAAAAGTTTTATACCCCATTTTGCTGGCTTTTGATGTACTGCTTCATGGCAATCCTGGCTTTGGTGGCAACCATACACTCATCCACACAGAGGCTTTGCTGGGGGTGGTACACAGATTTGTAGGCTACACGTAAACTGTCAAACGGGGGGGGGGGGGGGGGGGGGGGGTATTCTGTGCAGACAGTGATAGTCATCTGAGCCTTTTTTGCTGTCATTGAGGGTATCTTCCACAGGGTTACTCATATGAATGTTCCAAGTAATGGTGAGGAACCAGTCTCAGACTGGACATGATCTTGGGAGATAAGGCACATGAAATTTGAACTGGCACGCCAAACATTTCTGACCTTTGGCAGCTTCTAAATCTCCATGTACAGTGTTATCCCGATGTGCTGATGCATCTCAGGCTCCGTCACCTGAGTCCATTTGAATTTTTTGCCTGCAGCAATATTTTTTTCTGCATTTTTATTAGAGTTTTGATATCAGCTCTGTTAACAAACATCTTGAACAGCTCAGATGGAGATGGATTGTTCATATGTTCTGTAACAGGTGGCTGTATACCTGGCCTTTTTTTTTGGGAGGAAATATGGTGGAGGATGTGAGAAGTTGTCAGGGTCATTTTCACTTTTCCAGGCAGCTTCATGAAAAGAGACAGTCTCTGAGTTGGAGCACTTGCCTCTCCTTGATGGAGGTCCTCTCCCTCTCTCTGGTGCCCAGGAAGCCTCAGTGATGCAGGAGAGTTTCCTCCTCAACTTCATCACCACTGCACACAGAAAAAGAAATGTTCAGCAGGAGTCTCTTATAATGTTGAGTATTTGTTGCTAATTTTTCAGTAGTGTATAGTTTTCCTTTTCTCTCACTAATAATAATAATAATAATAATAATAATAATAATAATAAAGAATATTTCATGAATTTATACATACGGGTCGTATGACGGATCAACTCCTTGGATAAAGTCAGCTTCATCCCCACTGTCGGCAGAATCTGGGGCGGATGAGGAAACAGAAACTTCATCCTCATCCGGCGCTGTGATGGCGTCAACCGCTTCGAGGAGGGTGTACCGTTTGGCGGGCCCTGTGATTCATCAAAAGGTTTGTAGTGGTGTGTGAGTGTGTCGGGTGTTTGTAGTGGGCGTGTGATGTGTGGAAGACGCGGTCACGTGATGCAAGTCCGTTCCATTTAACCGTTTTCTTTTACCAAGGAAGGACAGTTTCCTCGTAAGCAAGGTGCCTGGCCTCACAAGACATCGCCTCGCAAGGGCAGGTGCCTTGACATTAAGAAACACCCTGGGACTACAAATAACGATACAGCGTCTGTGTCTGAATGAAAACGTTTTTGTAATTTGGTTGGTTTTTGCTAACTCATTAGCGGAAATATGCTGCACTCTGGAACATGTTCAGTGTGTGAGAGTAAGTGTAACTCCTCCGGTTTAATGTGCAAAAAAATTTTGTTCTATCTTATATAGTTTCAGTTTTACAAGCATTTGAACACAGATATGCAAATGTAAACATTGGCTACCACCGGTCTTAAAGGGTTAAAATGTGTTATAGAAATAGGCGTGGTATGGTATAGTATATTGTTTTTATAAGTAGTTCATAATTGTTAAAACACAGATAGTAGTTCATGGTAGTTAAAACATATACAATTTAGTTTCCTATCACTACATGGCAACCCACAGAAACTGAAACTGCAGTAACCAAATTTGACCACGGGATGTCACTGTTACTCAATTCTTACATAATATACCTTCACATAGATGTTTGATTACAGCAACCTTAAAATCCTAAGGATAGACTGGTTATATCTAAAATGAGGGCAGTAACCAAAGGAAATGCATCTTTGAGTAATTTGGTTGGAAATGGGTCTAACATACAAGTTGAAGGTTTAGATGAAAATAATATTTTTGAAAACTCTCAAAGGTAAACTGAATCTAAACAGTTCAAACACAGATGAGGTTCTACAGTTACCTTTGATGCTGCCTCACTTACTGGGGAAAAAGACATCTTGGCATTTGCTTGATGAGCTTCAATTAGTACTTCAAGACTGTTGGTAAACCATTTCAGGTGACTACCTCTTGAAGCTCATGGACAGAATGCCATGAGTGTGCAAAGCAGTGATCAGAGCAAAGGGTGGCTTTTTTGAAGAAAATATAAAACATGTTTTCAGTCACCTTTGTTGGTTAAGTACATAACTCTGCATGTGTTCATTCACAGTTTTGATGCCCTCGGTGAGAATCTCCCAAGGTAAATGGTCATGAAAATAAAGACAACTCGTTGAATGAGAAGGTGTGTCCAAACTGCAGCCAGCTTAGCATGATCTTTCAGAGAAAACCTCCCAGAATTATCCCTCTGCTTCATCTAGTCACAGTTCTGGCTCCACGTTTTTGTTCATTTTCACCATTAACATTTACTTTGCTGTTAGAGGTGGGCGTAACAAGCCTCAATAAGTTTTTGTGCTTCTTTTTTTCCTCAAATTTGAGTAAAAGGACAAGAAACACTGCAACACCGAATTTCTGTCTTGTTTGTCATTCCGTCACAGAAAAGTCAACTGGAACGTGATGCAAGTTACATGCTCAGATCCTATTAAAAAAAGGTCACAACAAAATGCAAATACAGAAATACATTAGAATGGTTTTGAAAGCAAAATATTTACTTCAAGCAAGTAGTGTGCAATGTTAAGATAATTACAACTGAAAACATAAAACTCTCTCTGTATAGTAAAGTCCAAATTTGACTTAAAATATGCCACATGGTAAGAAAAATCGCTTAAACTTTATTGCTTGAAATGGAATGAAAAGGAAAACGTGTAAAACCTCACTCTAATCTGCACAAAGATTAACACACACACACACTAACAGCGTATTTCTTCTATCATTTCAAAACTATTTCATTACCAACCATTGCACTGTTCACTGAGGACATATTTCTCATATGTTTTATTACCCCACAGAGGGAAAATTCAGGTGTACAAGCAGCAAGTTAAGCCTGGGGCACACCCAAGCCCCCACAATGCGGGTGAAAAATTGAAGCAAACCTGGAAGTACCAAAAATTGCAGTTCCACCCTCATCCGCTGGGGGCTGGTGTCAGAAGCAAGCAAATTGACTCCCATGTTAAAAATATCAATTTCACAGCAGAAATGAACATGTTTACAGCCTGGTTCCAAAACATGTTTTTTGTTTAAATTATCTAGTTTACACTCATGACAACTCTGAGGGGGGTGCATTTTTTTCTCACTCTTCTAAGTGTATTAAAAGCCTAAAATTCTGAATAATTAATGAGTATCTGACCCACGTGACCGCAGAGCTGGCTCCGGGGAAAGGCCTCAGTCTGAGCCTCGGCCTCTCCTGAAAACTGTTCGGTCATTTTCAGTCTCTCAACTTAGACCATTAGTTCTAGCGTTTGTGTATTCTTTTTTGGATATTATTTGTGCAATTGTTGGACAAAATGACTTGATGTGGCATTAATTGCACTAATGGAGCATCCAAGGAGTCTCCATTTCATTTTTTTCAGTAAGTAAAATTATATTTATGTATTTTAGGTCACTGTCGAGCTGAGCTTAGATTTTAACATGTACTGTTTAACCATGAAATTTAAATGTAATAGGGTAAAACCCAGTGCATTTAACATAATGCTGCACTTTAGAAAATGGGTTGAAATATAACATGTTGGTGGAGCTGGGTTCCGACTATCGGCTTGTGGAGCTCTCGGGAGACCGCTGTTTTCCACCCGGTTCTCCCCTCCCCGCAGCTTGGCGCATCTCTGTCTGATTGTGGCTTCTGTCTGCTGCGCGGTCTGCCGGCTTGTGGAGCTCTGGAAGGAAACCTTTCCATCCGGTTCTCCCCAGCGGCAGCTCTGCGCATCTCAGATCACAGCGGCTTCTGTCTGCTTTGCGGCTGCCGGCTTGTGGAGCTCTCGGGAGACCTCTGTGTTCCACCCGGTTTTACCCAGCGGTCAGCCCGGCGTATCTCTGACTCAGAAGCTCTGGTGTAGTTAACTCCGGTTGTAGCTAGGTTGCTACCTCCGTTAGCTTAGCTCCCACCTCCGCGTTAGCTTTGGGTTAGCTTCAGGTCAGCTTGTAGCTAGTTCGACCGGGTGTCGTCAGTTGATCCCAGCCTTACAGCCCCACCCTCAGCTCCACTTCTCTTCCCTTTTGTGGAATTCTCTGGGCTTGACGGAACCTGTGACACGGTCAAATTGGCGGTGGTGGCCACCTCCCATTTTTCTTCAAAAACGTGTTATTGGAACCTATGGACACCCATTGTCCAATATTTATATGTCGATGGGCACACCAGAGGCGGGTACAATGTGCCTGTGGCTTAAACGTAAGCATGTATATTCACACAATAGTTAAAGGTACAGAAAAAAATATAAAATATTATAGCACACAGCTCTGATGTCCATCCCGTGATAGGCTGAACTGTGAAAATGGTAAATTACAGAACTTTTTTTGTTTTTTCCTTGCTCTATCACACCAAATTTTATTTAGTAGGTGATTGACTGACTTCTGCATAGACTGATGAACTACTGAACCATTGAATCAAGTCTGTTGGAACAGGGAAACCATTAAAACATACTGGACAGTTGCCATCCAGGTCCTGATCTAGGGGAAAGGACTGCCACCAGAGGTACAAGAATGACATCGAAGATGTGAAAATTATAATGGTACCAATAGGAACCCTTGTGGTTTTATCAGTGTTTAGTTTTCTGCGTGGACTCTAGTGTGTGTGTTTAAACTTAACTTATGCCTGAATCTTTCTCCACAAACATCACACACAAAAGGCTTCTGTCCTGTGTGAACTCTCATGTGAGTGTTTAAATTTGTCTTTTGGCTAAATCCTTTTCTACAAACATCACACACAAAAGGTTTCTGTCCTGTGTGGACACGTGTGTGTCTGTTTAATTGTTCCATAATGATGAATTTTTGTCCACAGAGCTTGCAAGTAAAAGGTTTCTGTCCCTTGTGGATTTTCATGTGTCTGTTTAAACTGTTCTTTTGGCTAAAGCTGTGCCCACAGAGCTCACAAGCAAAAGGTTTTTTTCCTGTGTGGACTGTAATGTGAGCTTCTAAACTTGTCTTTTGGGTGAATCTTTTTCCACAAACTTCACACATAAAAGGTTTCTGTCCTGTGTGGACTCTCATGTGCCTGTGAAGATTTGTCTTTAGGTTACATCTTTTTCCACAAATTTCACACATAAAAGGTTTCTGTCCTGTGTGGACTTTTCTGTGACCTTTTAAATGTGCCTTTCGGCTAAACGTTTGTCCACAAACATCACAAGCAAAAGGTCTCTGTCCTGTGTGGACTGTCATGTGCCTGTTTAAATGGGACTTATTGCTAAACGAAAACCCACAATTAACACAATTAAACAATTTTAGTTTTTTCTGGATTTTCCTGTATGATTCTACATTTTGATTCACTTCAACACTTTCATGTTCCCAACAACTTGATGACCTTGTTCCTGAAAGACTTGTCACTTTAACATGTTTGTGAAGAGGCCACTTGTGGATATGTTTACCACACTCAGAGCAGCTAAGAGACTTATCCACAGCCTTACCACCTGACTCAGAAGACATACTCTCATTATATTCTAGGTCACTGTCTTCAGTTTCTGTCTCAGAGTCTGACAAGGGTTTCAGGTGACAGTTGCAACTGTTCCTGTCCTGGTCATCTTCATTCCCACTGATTTCAGTCTGTGAAGATTTGGAATATTCTTCGTAAGGATTTAGATCTGGATTCCTTGTACTTTCTGCTCCTCTGTAGTCCTCTCCGGCACTTTCTGCTTTCATCCAGGCAGATGGGCTGCTTGTTGGAAGATCTCTGTTTGTAGTTTGTTGCTGATCGAACTGCGACAACACCTTATTCTCATCTTCCTTACAAGAAACAGCATTAAATGAAATCTTGGTGGCATAAGTGTCCTTCTCATTAAGTAGTTCCTCCTCTTCCCTCTTTATGTTGAGGATCTCCAGGTCCATCTGGCTCACACCAGGCCTGAGTTCTTCAGAAGCTGCTCCTTTGATCAACACCATCTGCTGAACATTCACAGGGAACACTGAAACACAAAACCATTACAAAGTTAACCTTATAGTTACACCAACCAGAATGTTCTTTACCTTACCTTACCAAAACAACAAACATCATTAACAACTACAAACGATAACACATTTTCAGGATTAAAGGCTTGTGAGATTTATGTTTGTTGTTGTGCCCAGAGACCATAAAGATGATCACTTCTCTCTATGTTTACTTGTGTAGGAAAATTCTGAGTTGTTTTACACCTTAGATTTATTTATTTCTGTGTGTGTGTGTGTTACACATAGGGCTGGGTGACACAGACCAAAACTTATATCTCGATATCTTTTCACTTAATTCCCATTTACGATATAAATCTTGATATTTTTCATTCTGAAAAATAATTACAAGTTTTCTAAAGGAATTGTAAACATAAAATGTATCATCCAACAAAATAAATAAATAAAACTCATAAAAATGTATTGATTCAGCTGTTATCAAACAATGACCCTTTTTTATGTTTTCTAATGTAAACTGAACCTTGAGTCTGTTACCTATCTATTAGGGCTGGGAGATACGGCCTAAAATCAATATCACGATATATTGAGGATTTCACCTGGATAACAATAAGTGGACGATAACTACAGGTATGCGCAGAAACAAAAGTTGTCCACTAGATGAGGCTGTCACGTGTTTTACGTTGAGTTACACTGGCCTTGTTTGAGTTGAGCAGCGTCTCGCCTGGAAAATGGACAAGAGCAGACGGACGCAGCAGGGGGAGTGGCTGAAAGTCGGCGTTTAAGTCGGACAGATTTCCCTACATGTGTAGCTCTCGGGTGACGATGGATGAAGAGATCACGTTAGCGTTCATACTCATTTAATTTTTTTATTTTAATTCTGGTGCCTGTTAGCAACCGAAACACATCCTCGCGTGCTTGTGGATAATATAATGCATATGGAGACATGACTGTAATAATAAGTAAAGGTTATCAGCTGTAGGTTTAGTGTGCTCATAGGAAACGTGACAAAATAACACATATCACATTTCTCTTTATGGCCTATATAGTTATCATCAATGTCACATGATTTACAGAATACATGTGACCAACTAACATTTCGCATTCTACCACCGGATGTTTGGGTCAGAATGTGAACCAATCAGGTCTTAGATCAGGTGAGAGCCAAGTGTTTGCCGTCATGCCCTAGGCTTTGCAGCCGGTGGAGAGCAACTGCAGCGCCTTGCTCCAAAATCCGCAGCCGCCTTGATCTCATGAGGTTATCGTTGCCTACGCATGCATGACGTCAGAGGAGGTCGGCATCAAGTCGGACACTAATCTAACCGGCAAGCACTGTGCGCCGATCACCGGTGATCTAATCTGTGCAGAACTGGCTCATCTCGAACAAGCCCATTTTTACGTGACTACAGGTGGTACAGCTTCTTAAAGGGACATGAATATTGCCAACCTACATACAACTTTTCATTTTTTATTATCAAATTTATTGACATGGGAAAAATTATCACAATAAGAGTCAGAAATGTCGATGAAGATATATTTTCAATTTATTGCCTAGCCCTACTATCTATCTATCTATCTATCTATCTATCTATCTATCTATGATAAATTCATGACGTCATTACATCCACTACGAGAGGATTAAACTCACATGGGTCATTCAGTGCTGCGTTATTAAAGTTATGAAGGTAAACATTACTGTAATCTCACAATATTCACTCTTTCAGTGAGTATACATTTCTATGGTATTCTGGCTGCTGCATCTCTCCACATCGGTTTCCTGATTACACAGGGAAAGAAGTTTGACCCGTCTCTCCACACAAACAGGATATAAAAATTTACAAGTGCAGCCACTGTGAAAAAGCTCGCTGGAACACAAACCAACGTCCCCAAGTAAAAGCCACAAAGCCAAATGCAAAGTTTAGGGCAGAACATTGACCCAGAGGCTTCCTGATCAAGTAGATGTGTGAGAATAGATGTAATGACCATTTAGACATACGTAAACTAAGTACATTTTCTTTATATAGCAATCGTCACACAAATAGAATCACAAAGTGCTTCACAGAGATCAACAAAACAAATCATAAAGTCATAAAATCATAATGATCTTAGAAACAAAACAGCAAAACAGAGGTCGGGTTGCAGGGGCAGCAGCCTAACCAGGGAGGCTCAGACTTTCCTCTCCCCAGCCACTTGGGCTAGTTCCTCCAGGTGAATCCCAAGGTCGTTCCCAGGCCAGCCGAGAGACATAATCCCTCCAGCGTGTCCTGGGTCTTCCTTTAGGTCTCCTCCTGGTTGGACGTGCCCAGAAAACCTCGCCATGTAGGTGTTCAGGAGGCATCCTAAATAGATGCCCGAGCCACCTCAGCTGGCTTCTCTCCATGTGGAGAAGCAGCGGGTCTACTCTGAGAGTTTCAGTACACACAATTCTGAGATCAGACATACATACATACATACATACATAGACACATGACAAGAATTGGTGACTGTGGTCATTCACAACCCGAGTCGCGCTACCGTAATAGATCAAGAGGGTTTATATGAGGATAGAGTCAGGGGGAGGGGAAAAAGGCACTTCAGCGTTACCCTCCACAGAGAGGGCAGCTTTGCTATGCAAAAAATACCTCCAACAGAAATGCAACAGACTTCAGACATTACACAACATAAGTGTCCACTAGGTGGGGAGGTAGGATTGGGACTCTCCTCACTTCAGGGCGTGCAGCCACAGGAGCAACACTCATCACCTCCGTTTGGATAGGGGAGGGAGATAATGGGTTAGAGGGCACATTGACTCCTAGATACGGTTCCACGACCTTCACCGGTCACAGTCCAGCCCAGGCTGGGATAGAGAGAAAGAGTTTCCATAGCGACGGCAGCATTCCACATTTCTTCTGAGGGGGGAGTAATCACTTAGGCCTCACAGGCTTCAAGGGCACCAGATTCCGATAAGAATTGTTTTGGGGACAGACAAAGATAATTTCCTCTCTGCCTTAGTGTTCTGTTGGTCTTTAACCCCTCTAGATCCAATAATGGCGTAATTAATCTATCCCAATCCGTGCTGATCCGTCAACTCGCTCCTTGATGGTATCCACCTTCTGTGCCAGAGCCTGAATCTCAGCCAAAGTTCCAAGCTTACGACTCATCTCGACAATTATATGAGTTTGTGCGTTCACAGCACGATGCATTCCATCCCTGAGCTCCGGGATTGAGCCAATATTCCTCAAAAGCTCGTAAATTTTCCGGTAAGCCAGATAACCCCCCAGGCCAAAAAGCAGGAAACCTGACACCAACACCACGAATATCCAAACATCTTTGGAATGCTCTACAGACAGCTGAGAGAGGCATATTAGGTTCCACTGTTTCCAGGAGTCCATGATATGCCCAACTGGCTCTGTCCCAGAGGGGCATCCGGGAGCCCCTTCTCCCGTTCTCATTGTTGAAAAATTTTTGTCAATTGCGTTGAGAGACTAACTGACCAGATTCATTTTTAATAATTTAGTTTCCAGAAAAAATGCATAAAGCGCCGTGCACACAAAGACAGACAAAGAGCCTTGGGATGAGGAGGGAGGGAGAGAAGAAAAAAAAGCGTCTGTACTCTCCAAGAGCCGGAAGAAGACGCTCTTCTTCTTGTCGGCGCCAAAACAACCAAAACAAAGCGAAGACTCACCTCTTACATTAGGAAGAATCTGCGTGTTTCGAGCGTTATCCGTTCTTTCATAATCCGTTGTCAAATTGTGATCGGCAGACGCTTTTCCAGTTCGCGCCTCACTTTTTTTTTTTTTACAGGAAATGCCCAAAACAATCTCATGAATTTTCTGCTTCCTGATCATGTGACGTGTGATGTACGCGAATGAAGATCGGCTTCAGAGCTGAGATGTTTGTTCTCTTGGCACGGGGGCTCGTTCCGATGCCCAAACAGTTAAAAAAAAAAAAAAAAAAAAAGTTAATGGCGACTTTAGTCGTCAAAGGCAGTGAATGAGTTAAACGTTGAGAAAATCACTATAAATCTGGTCATGTGGTAAGTCGTACACTGGAATGGAGAGATTCTGTGATGTTTGGTTTGTGTGTGTGATTCTAGGCATAATGCAAGCAACTTCTAGATTCCATTTTTAACATGATATTAAAATGTTTATATATGATGTTCTTTGGTCTGAAGGGTTAATTTCCAGAATTCAGATTTTTACTGTAAGTTTCTTTTTCTGAATTCCATTAAATCAGGTTTATCACGAACAAGCAGCAGAAAGCATCTGTTATCCGTTTTAAACCTAAAATAAATGTTTAAATTAGAAACACATTTATCTGAATTCACAGCAGAGATAATGATGAAGGTTTCACATTATTAGCCCCTAAAAGGAACAAATCATTTTCCATCCTAGGTCTGGTTTATATATTTTATTGGTTGCATGTTTTATGCTAAGCTAGACACACAAGAAGCTAAATCGTTTATCAACCTGAAAACTATCACTAACTACGTCACACTTGATTTGAAAAATAAAAACATACAAACCCAATAGGTCCGCTGGGGTTTAAAACACCATCTCGGTTTAATCCCAGTTGCTCCTGCTCGGTGTTTGCGGCTAAATCTATTAGAGTAAACCTCCCAGATTTCTCCCTCTGCAGCATCCTCTCGCTGTTTAACCTGCTGACTCCACGTTTTTCTTCATTTTCACCATCATGCTGTTAGCGGTGGTCATAACAAGCTTCAACTGCTTTGTGTGCTTCTTTTTTCTAACTTTTAGTGAGAGAACACAAGAAACACTGAAACACGGAAGTTCCGTCTTCTTTTCCATTCCGTCACGGAACAAAAACTGACTGGAACCAGAGACACGTAGCTGAGTTTCACTCACGTGGTGGCAGTCGCGCGGCATATATATATCATATAAATATATCATCATATATAATATATATCTATGGTCGCGCGAAACTCAAATGAGGGACAGGAAGTGTTTTGCTCCGCATAAAAACAACCAAAACAACACAGCCACTGTTCTACAAAATAGTTTTTTTCTGTTTCTTTTATAAAAAATAAAAACAGAAAACGTAAAATGTGAACATATAATAAGTCTCATCACACAGTCTGACTTACTTCATTTATATCTGTTGGCCCTCAAGCATTAAGCAGAGTACATAGGATAAACATATATGTGCCTTTCCTGGGTATGAAGTACAATAAAACTGCCCTATTTTACTCAGCTGTTGGCAGCAGGTCTGTTTATCTTAATGAATACTGGTGAAAATAGGTCTAAATCAGCTTTGAATTAAATTTAGATTAAATGAGAAACAGATGTTCTAACTTGCAAACAGCCGTGACTTTTTAAAATGAAGACATAAAATTGTTCATAGTAATAAAAGAACCCCACAAGAGCCAACAGATATGTCTAACAGTGTGGAAAAATCCAATAAGATTTATTACAATTACACATTTGACGTTTTCCATGTTATTTTATAGAAGAAATTCAAACTGGTTTGTTGCAAAACAAGACAGAATGTTGTTTTGGCATTAAGTTTACATTTCCTTCAAAAAATCCTCATTTGCTGCTAAATGAAACAGCCAATCGTAGGAGAGTTCTTCCAACCAATCAGAGGTGAAAAAGGCGGGACCTTCCTTGGACGTCCTACGATTCTAATAAATGATGACGAGCCCCGTGGGACTGCTGCACGCACGCACACACACACACACACACACACACACACACACACACACACACACACACACACACACACACACACACACACACACACACACACACACATTATATACCACGTTTGTATGGCTAAAATGTAATTTCTTAGTAGATATTCTATTTAGTAAGAGATGAACGTAACGTTCAGCTAAAAAGATATATATATATATGTGTGTGTATATATATATATATATATATATATATATATATATATATATATATATATATATATATATATATATATATATACAGTGTATAGTGCATCTATAATTAGCCTAATTCAACAGGTGAACTAGTAGTAGCACACTCTATATTAAAGAGAGTAAAATGTTATTATCAGGAGAAGGAGAATGTGAAGTGGTCAGCAGCAGTGTGCCAGTCACTGACTCCCAGCCCTCTTATTGTAAATGTTTTCACATTTGTGGGACTATGGTGCTGAATAAATACAGGCCATTTGCCATGTAGTAAAAGTGGATGCCTAATTAAAAACATACACATCTATTCAAATAAGAGCTGTTCCCACAAATCTTGTTACCTGTTGATATATTTGACAAAATTATAAAAATAACATCAAACTGAAAAAATATAGTTTGTTAAACCCATTTAGAAAGCAAAACAAATAACTTAGGGTCACATTTCAGCAAACACTGAAACAGAAATACATGACGGGATTTCTCCCTTTCCACAGTTTTGTTGTGTTTTTATTCTAAGTATTACAATTTTGCTGTTTACATTTTCTTCTTGTCCACAACGTTTAATTGGATAGTGTCTCTATGTGTGAACAATAAATCAGAACAGAACCTTTCACAAGTACCAAGAGCATGATAACATCGAACCATTTATTATATAAAATAAAAAGTTGTTACTGATTAGTTAAAGTTGTTTATCAAAGAAAAAACAGTAAGACAAAAGCTTCAACTGTATCAGATCCCAGAAAATGCATCTGTCTTCTGGAGAGTTCCACTTATGGCCAATAAAGGTCAGAGGAGGGGTTGGGGCAGGAACGCCTCCCAGCAGCTGATACCAGCTGATCTATAAATATCTTCCTGGACCTTAACCATCTGGTAGCACACAACTGAAAGACGGGTGCATGGTTTTTACATTCCAGTAATTTAAAGGAATAAAAAAAGCACTTATTTCTACTAATTTCTACAAGAATCAGCATGAACAAAATCAAAATAGCCAGACCAGAGGAGAGGTAAGTGCTGCAGACCTCTCTGTGAGTAAAAATACACCCACGTGTGCTTTTTGGAGCTTGACTTTTCAAAATAAAAGTGTATGTGTCTCAACAGCCAGCCAGCAAATGCCTTGTGGTTTGACAGAAAGAAATACGTCACCATCAACTTTTTGATTCAAAAACCTAAAGACGTCCAAGTTGACATCCAACCAGACAAAATGATTTTGTGGTGAGTTTAGTGGAATCTCATTATAAAATATCTCTTGATGTCCAACTTTGGACAAAGCCGTTCTGACTGTTTGTAAACCAGCTGCAGAAATGAAACGGATGATGTCTTCTACAACGAGCTGTACTTTTATGACAAAGTCCAAATCAATGTAAGTGTTCAGTGTTTGGAGCTCGATCCCAGTGCAGTGGATCTTGCCAGAGAGTAACCTTTCAGTCTTTTCTTCACTTTGAAGGACTCCAGAGAAAGTGTTCATGAGCGCACCATTCACGTTTTGTTAAGGAAGATGAAACCTGACTGTGCCTGGCCTCGTCTTCAGAAAGACTCAGCAAAGGTAACATCGTGCATTTAGATTGATTAATCTCAAATTCTGCCTCCAAATGTAGACTGGATTTATGCTAATTTCATCAGTTTGCATGCTGGTGATTTGGAGTTAATAATTCTTCTGTGTAGCCCGCCTGGATTTCTGTAGACTTTGATAACTGGAGGGATTGGGAGCACGAAGAAGACGAGGGAAAGGAAGAGTACGACAGATACATGGACGTGAGTGGCAGATTTTAATGGTTTTAATAGATATAACACCAGCATTGGATCACAGACTATTTGCTGTGTTTCCCAATTATGTTTAAGGGTGTTGAATTTGTTGGTGCCACATCTATTTATTGATGGTTTTTGTTGTTGCAGATGATCCAGGATATGGCCAGAAGTAACAAAGGAGAAGCACCAGACATGGGTGACCTTAGTGATGTAAGTGCTGCTAATCTCATCGGGGCACTTCAGATCATTTGTTGAAGCGTTTCTGTGAAAAATGTTTTCAACAATCTTAGCTGTTGTAGAACTTCGGGGAACCTCCTGCTGGAGAAACGGAGACAAATTAGATCCAATCTTAGAAATGTCTGAGCAGTTCATGCAAATGCTAATTTGTCAGCTTATAAATTTCACTTCATTAGGTATTTACATGAAATTATGTGTTAGCGGGTCAGGGGTTGACGGTTTCTGCTGGAATCTTGAAATTTTAACTCAGCCCAAAAGCTAAAATGTGTTGTTAGCGTGTCTGTCCAACGACAAGAAATCTCTTTTTCACCAAACTGAGGCCCTTAAGTATCTGAACCACACATTTTAATACACTTATTCTATTATTTTGGCTAAATTTAAACATGTTTGAGCATCCATATTTTAAATGTGTAAACTGATATTTATTTACTTTTTCTCCACAGTCTGACTGATTTCTACAGTTTTTTACTATCTGAGATGGAGCAGACTTTGGATTTAGACCTGTAATGTTTGACCATGCTATTTCTTTTAAAATAAGGTGGCTTCACACATGTTTATTTCTTGTAATTGTGTATTTCAAAGTAAACATGATCTCTGTGAATGATTACTTTTTTTTATCTAGATGTATTTGGTATCTTCGGTCAACATCTAACATCAGTGATAAGGAGCTCATCCTTTGGCTGAGATTGGATAAATGGATTATTCCCATTTACTCAGGAAGATGGCAGTGGTAGCACAATAATCCATGGAATTAGAACTAAAATGGGTGATTTTCCTTCAAATTAAAAACAGTCCAGTTCATAGGTCACTTGTTTTTAAATGTTATATGTTTTATGTTATATTGTTATATTATTAAATATGATATTGTTTATTTATGAGGAAAGATTCTATGAACTCCATATATTTCCCATGAGACAAGGTTATTTATTCATGCTGTTGCTTTTGTTTTTGATTTGTTTGAAAAATAAAATTCACATAGAAATTATGAGATGTAAGACAAAAATTACAGTAGTTTACAACAGGTGCTGATTTACACACACACACACACACACACACACACACACACACACACACACACACACACACACACACACACACACACACACACACACACACACACACACACACACACACGAGTTTTAACACTTAAAATGATCATGATCGTAGTTTTCTTGAAATATGAGCTTCATAGAAACAAAATCAGCAGTTTTTATTAGATTAGGCTATTTATATGGTCTGCTACTTCAGTTAAACTGTTTTAAACTGTTTATAAAAAATAATGTATTTAGTTTGGATGTGTTTTACTTGACCTGCTTTGCATATGAAAAATAAAACAAATATTGAAAATTTTAACATATTTCGTTCTCTCATTGTTTTTCATTTAATCAGTTTTATTATTTGTGGCTTCATGGGCTTTCTATCACGTTAAATTTGTTATTTTTGTATTTGTTTATTTAGAGCGAAAAGAACAAAAGTCAAAGTTATGAAGTTTGGGCTTCATTGCGATCCGTCATAAAGTGACAGCTGTAAGTCGGTGTTTTACACACGCTAATAGAGACTTTCTCCTCATAAACAGACCCAAATGGCGTTTCAGTGTCAGCGAGACAGTTATATGAAAGAGGTATGATTACCCTAACTGAGATGTGACCAAACATCCCGGAAATGTAATCCTAATTCATACCGGAGTGATTAGCGTAGCTGCTAAGTGCTGCAGCAGCTAATGTAGCTAGCACCCTAGCTAACGTCATTTTCATTGAAAGAAAATTGTAAATAAAGTTGTATTATAAACCTCTAGGAAGCGCATTTCAACCTAACATATATTTTGTGCATCCACATTGTTCTTTCTCAATTCATTACAATTATAGTTATTTTGAAGCTGTTGTAGTTGTCCATGAACGTCTCGTTCATTCATTTCCCTTTAGCTAGTTACTTCTGTAGTATCCTGCTGCCCAGCGGGACTCAAACAAGAAGTCAACGGAAAGAAAGAAACTCTCAAAGGCTTCAATGTCAAGCTCCGAGATACGATCTTATTCCCTGAGGGGGGTGGACAGGTAAGCTGTTTTTTCTCCGATAACATGTCTGATTCCATTCGTGCAGCATTTCCCTGATTCCTCCACAGCCAGATGATCATGGGCTGATCGGAGAGGTTCCAGTTCTCAGGGTGACAAGACAAGGAGCAGATGCTTTACACTTTGTGGCCTCTCCTGTGGAGGTGGGTCAGGAGGTACTTGTGAAGGTAGATTGGGAGAGGAGGTTTGATCATATGCAGCAACACTCAGGTATGTGGCTCCTTCCTGCTCATCTCTGTTTTGGTGTGCTTTTTAAACTATAATCGTTTTTTTTTTCTTGTCTCCAAGGTCAGCATTTGATCACAGCTCTGGCAGATGTAATGTTTGGATACAAGACCACATCATGGTACACCAATATGCTGATATTCCCCAGTAAACACCAAAAGGGTGTTGAGCGCTTACCAGTTATTTTGTTTTCAGGGATTTGGGCCGTCAGAGAAGCACAATTGAGCTGGATACAAATTCTATCCAACCAGCGCAGCTTCAGGAACTGGAAGATGCTGTAAATGAGAAGATCAGAGCTCACATTTCTGTTAATGTTCAGCTGCTTTCTATTGATGATCCTGCTGTGGAAAAGGTATGTTTGTGAGGGAAAAATATGCGAGGATTTTACAGAGATTGTGTTCAAGTCGAGCTGCATGCATCTGTGTGAGCCAGGTGAGGAGTCGGGGGCTTCCGGACGACCACGCAGGACCAATTCGGATCATTGATATTGAAGGTGTTGATGCCAACATGTGCTGTGGGACCCACGTGTCCAACCTCAGCCACTTGCAGGTAAATCTTCACATGCACAAAGACATTTGTCTAGTTTTAAGACTTGACAGGAATGCATTGTGTCTGTTTGCTTCTTTTCTAAACTGTTAGGTTATAAAGCTGCTTGGAATAGAGAAAGGAAAGAAGAACAAAACCAACCTGATCTTCCTGGCAGGAAACCGAGTACTGAAGTATGCAGAGAAGAGCTACAGCACAGAGCGCTCTTTGGTGTCTCTTCTGAAGTAAGATCACAGATTCTCATAACATCTCCAGAGTGATTTAAAACCTTTCACAAAAGCTGAGTGAAGGCCTCTTGGTGCTACAGGACGGGCCCGGACGAGCATGTAGAGGCAGTCGATAAGCTGCAGAAGTCTGTTAAACTTCTTCAGAAGGTGAGAGGGTTTGTCAAGGTGCAGCTGAAGATCTGGCTCTTATGGTCTCTTAAGTCTCATAAACGGATGTTTCCAGACAAACCTCAGCCTGCTACGTGATGTGGCCATCCTCACTGCTCAGAACTTCAAGAATGATCCTCATAGAGGCAACTTCTTCAGCTTCCACAAGTAATCCTCCACCAGGGAGAGCAGCATGTCTTAAGACAGACGAGCATTGATTAGCTTTTTGTTTTTCCAATAGAAAAGAGGGCGACAATGAGTTTATGAATATTATCGCCAACGAAATAAACACAGAGGTGAGATCCCTATGAGAGTTTCACTCTTGGTCTTAGCTGGTGAAACACAATTTAACTGCTTTCAGGAAACTTTGGTTTTCCTGACCGTTGGAGAGGAAAAGGGAGCTGGTTTGTTTCTCCTGGCTGGACCTGGTGGACCCGTGTCTGATTTAGGACCACGGTATGAAGCTCCCCCACATATTTCTTAGCCTCTGCTGGGAAAACTCAACGTTCTGTTGAATATTTGTCTCCCTTAATGTCCAGGATTTTAGAGTTGCTCCAGGGGAAAGGGGCGGGGAAGAACGGGCGTTTCCAGGGCAAAGCCAACAACCTGGCACGAAGAGGAGAGGTGGAGGACTTACTGAGACAGCACTGCAAACATCACGGCTCAGAGGAAGAGTAAACCCGGTGACCAATCAGTGGAGGAGCATTCGTTATCCTTTTCAGGGAAGCAATTAGAGCCAATAATCACAAAAGCACTAAAGCAGTTTGATAAATAATTACACCCATTTATGTGTGGACTAATAATTAAAACATTGAAATCAGCTAAAAGTTGATGCAGCAAATATTAGACAGTAAAACTGACTCTTTGGAAGGAATTGTTCAGTTTCACCCCGATCGCATTAAGCTGCTCAGTTATACTGGAAACTTCACTCACTCCTCCTTCTAAAAGCGTCGCTGCTGACCCATCGGTAACTTTGGAAAGGGAACGAAAACTTCAGACATTGTGTTACTTTGATCACAGATTTCATTTCTCTGATTAAAACGGTTTCCTTCTGTTTAGTTTTAAACATTTTTAACTGTTTACTATTCATATCACTCAATAAAAAGATTCCCTTGCCAGTTTGTCACTCTGTGTATGACATCAGTGTGTGTATCATCGTAAAACATCATTTATTTTGTATTTCAGGAGTGATCCTTAACATTTACATTAAAGCTATAATGTGGAGTTTATTGGTGCTGGTGGAGTCACTTCCGTTTAACGCGGCGGTTGCTCTGTCGAAGGCGGCAGTAGATGTCGAAACATGCCAGCAAAGGTAAAAACAAGCTTTATTTGCTCTGTGGAGTTTTTTTTTTTTACCTAACGTCACCATCTAGAGGCTGACAAGTGTATCGCACCATGAGCCGTTCTCACCACTTCCATTTTTACGACCAAAAGCAACGCCTCTCGTTAGTGAGCCAACAGAAGTAAAACGCCATTTTACTGTTATTCTCTATTCGTTCCATTTATATACACTCAATGGTCACTTTATTAGGTACACCTTGCAAGTATCAGGTTGGACCAACTTTTGCCTTCAGAACTTCCTTAATCATTCGTGGCATAGAGTCAACAAGGTACTGGAAACATTCCTCAGAGATTTTGGCCCATATTGACATGATAGCATCATGCAGTTGCTGCAGATTGGTCGGCTGCACATCCACGATGCGAATCTCCTGTTCCAGCTCTATTGGGTTGAGATCTGGTGACTGTGGAGGCCATTTGAGTACAGTGAACTCATTGTCATGTTCAAGAAACCAGTCTGAGAGGATGTGAGCTTTATGACATGGTGCATTATCCAGCCGGAAGTACCCATCAGAAAATGGGTACACTGTGGTCATAACGAGATGGGCATGGTCAGCAACAATACTCAGCAAGGCTGTGATTTTGCAATGATCAATTAGTGCTAAGGGGCCTAAAGTGTGCCAAGAAATGTCCCCCACACCATTACACCACCACCACCCGCCTGAACCGTTGACAGAAGGCAGGATGGATCCATGCTTTCATGTCGATGCCAAATTCTAACCCTACCATCTGAATGTCACAGCAGAAATCGAGACTCATCAGACCAGGCAACATTTTTCCAATCTTCTATTGTCCAATTGTAGAGGCTACAATTCTGTCCTGTTCTGACAGCTGTGGCACCCGGTGTGGTCTTCTGCTGCTGTAGCCCATCTACCTCAAGGTTCAACAAGCTTTGCGTTCAGAAATGCCCTTCTGCATACCTTGGTTGTAACAAGTGATTGTTCAAGTTGCCTTTTTCGGACCATTCTCTGTAAACCCTAGAGATGGTGTGTGTGACAATCCCAGAAGATCAGCAGCCTGTATGGCACAAACTACTATGCCACGTTCAAAGTCACTTCAATCACCTTTTTTCTCCATTCTGAAGCTCATGTTGAACTGCAGCTGATCCCCTTGATCATGTCAACATGCGGCATGCATTGAGTTGCCACCATGAGATTGACTGCTAAACAATTTGCTGTAACGAACAGTTGGACAGGTGTACCCAATAAAGTGACCAGTAGGTGTGTGTGTGTGTGTGCTTATTAAAGACTTGTCAATGAGAAAAGGTCGCCAACTCTGCATCAGTCTAAGTACGTCCTCAAACAGTAGCACATGCTCTGTAACGCACGTTTGCAGATGTCTGACGCTATTGGCTAATGCTAAGCAGACCTCAAATAGCACAGGGCTCTTCATGACAGGCGGTAAACTTAGCAAAAAAGAAAAAGGTGTAGTGCCTACAGAATGGGTAGGCAATCATGGCTCTCGAGCGCCGGTGTCGTGCATGTTTTAGTTGTTTCCCTGCTAATTCAAGGGTTAAAGCATCTGTTCACCAGATGTTCTAGCTCTGCAGAAACTTGTCAATCGCCTACTGATTAAACTGTAATGTCTCTGGTTGACTTCCCGTTCTTCAGTGTTAAAAATGAGTTTAACTGTGTATAATGGGGAGTATGGCACCTCTGCTAATGGCTCCTGCTTTCTTAGACCTTACATGTGGAAGATTTAAATATTTTCTTGTTTCATATAACATTTTAAGAACATTTTTTTAAGATTTTGATCTTTGAATGTAGCTGTTGCCTGGACATGTGCTGTACATACTTGAATATTAAAAGCTTAAAACATGTCAACCTTTATTTTACTTCATGTTTTTTTTCTTTGCTCTGCAGCAACGCTAAAGTTAGACAATCATCAGAATTTACTATTTACACACAAATGCCATGTGAATTAATTAAATTAAATGAAAAAAAAAACTTTCAGACTTCTGCTGAGTTCCATTTATTTAAAATCCTTTGTAAAAAAAGGTTTAATGTGAGTAAATTAACTTTAGTTTCATTTGGCACAATTACATCGATCAGAAGAGGAATCCCACCTGGTTACAGCACCAACTAGAATAAATCTTAATGATTAATGAGAACAGAAACGTCCTGACAGCATGATGCTGGTCAGTGGTGTTGCATCACTCTATTGCAGCAGTTAAAGCTAGGGTTTGGAGAAAAGTCTGACATCTTTGTGCAGCAATTACCAGTTTGTCACAGTGAGGTTAAAATGTTTTCATTTGTTACAGTGCAAATATGCAAGCGCCCCTTCCCGCAGTAATAGAAAAACTAAATAAAGATATAAAATAAAGGCGGATCATGTGATCCTTTATGTGTTTTGTCCTTGCTGTTGTTTCCATTCCTCTTCTACTGAAGCGGCTTCACTATCTTCATTGAGATGTAGTTCTGGAATAAAGCAAAGTAAAGTTAGAACTGTTCTGTTGCTTAGATACGGCAAACCAAAGAATGCGCGAGTCGTCCGTTCTTACAGGTAAAGAGTACAACAAGATGGCAATGAAGAGAACCACGATGGTGAGGATGATGAGTCCGAGGAAAACCCACTTGAATCTTCTCCACACGATAAACTTCATGGTTTTGCACGGGTTCGTGAACCAGAAGAAGGATGTTTCTGGGCGGCTGGTTGGTTTCAGGGAGTGAAACAAAGCAGATGTTACAGCTGACTTAGCAGGACTCTGCTCCACAGATCAGGCTGGTTTCTTACTTGGGGGGGTTCAGCTTTGGGTTCATGTTGGGTTCTTCTCTTCCTTTTCCTGCTGGTCTCTCGTCTGCCTCTGCTTCATTCACAATCTCCAGAGTCATCTCCACTTTACCCTGCAAACACCAGAAGAAGAAACAACAAAGATGACAGGTTGAAAAAGGTTTATTCTTTCACAATATCTTAAAGAACAAGTCACCCCTAAAACAACTTGTTTTGTTGACTGTGCCGTTTTTAGCCAAAATCACTAAACCTGTGCCGTTTTCTAGTACTTTGTTTCTACGTTGTGGCAGTAGCTCATTAAAACTCCGCCTCTGGGTTGTGGGCGGAGCTTTTGGTGCGGAGGACAGGGTCACTCTAGTAAGGCACCCGACTTGGATGCAGGGGACCTGGGTTTGAATCCTGGCTTGGCCAGATTTTTTCTAATTAGTTTAGAAAGTTGGAGCTCGCTCGCTCGCGCACGAGCCGGTCAGAGAGGACAAAGCAGTGCTGTGCAGCAGGTGCATGGAGGAGAGAATCAGACAGGTGGAGTAAAGAGGGAGCTCAGAGCGGCAGACAGAGCAGGTGGACGACTTCCAGCCTATGTAATGTGGCCCGTATAATTAGGCTGTCTCGGCCGTGCCTCCAGCTGACTCGGCCACTAACGAGCTGATATGAAACGATGCGTTTCAGAGCCACTCGCCTCCCAAAAAAACACTCCCCCCTCTCGGTCTTCCAGTGAACGAGGTGGAGAGAAAACCCTCCAGCCTGTGCAGCTTCTCTGTTGGCTTGTCCAGCTGAGCAGCGAGTCTGCTGTGTGTGTGTGTGTGTGTGTGTGTGTGTGTGTGTGTGTGTGTGTGTGTGTGTGTGTGTGTGTGTGTGTGTGTGTGTGCACGTGTTAACGGCTCACTTCTCAGACTGAGAAACTCAGAGAGCTCGTTTGTGGGGGTTATTGAAGAAGGTGCTGCCCGTCACTGCCTTAGAGCTGCTCTCCTCGGTCCACCAGGCAACACCTCCTTTAGGCGCATTTTTCAAACAGGAAGTGTGGGTGGGGAAAGACTATGTTAGTGGGGGGGACTCACTCTTTAAACGTAAAAAAAACACATTTCTGTTTAATAATTGGCCTCCTAAAAGTAAACACAAGTAAAAGGGTTTCAAATTTAAAATGGAAGTATTTCATTGTGTTTTCACTTGGCCAGCGTGAAAAATGATCCTTTTCTCGACTGATCTGTAATAACTCAAATCCTTTATGAACAAATGTGTGAAAGTTATTGAACTTTTAAATGAAAACAAGAAACATCCTTATATAAGTTTAAAATTGGTACATGTCAGTTTTTGACCAAGAATTTAAGCGGAATAACCAATCCTTTAAAGGCATTAGTCTCTGTTTTACGTACCCCCAGGACCTTCTTGCCATCTTTTTCGATGGAGCAAGGCCACCAGCCTCTGACTGACTGCTGAGCAAACAGAGACTTGGAGTTCTCCACCTTGTTGGGTGTTCTAACATCGTGGTCTTCCATCATCTTCAGGGAGCATTTTTCAGGTACCTTGGCAGGAGGAACCAGCCTACTCAGATCCAGGTCCAACACACCTGGCATCACAAACCATTCAAATCAATGAGCTTCAACAACAGTGAGTGACCACAGCTCCCAGTTATAGGAATGATACTGGTTCTTACCCAGGTAATCATCCAGTGAGAATTTGTCGTTATCCCATAGCTGAACGATTAGCCTAGGGGGAATCCTGAACTCGGTTTTGTCAAGACTCCAAAAATGTTCCTGTAAAAATCATTCCAGCTGAAAGTCTCCAACAAAATCACGTCTCAGTTGGACTAAATCAGCAGGCCTCACCTTCTTGGACACAAGGCAGAGCTGTTCAGCTGGTAGGTATTCAAAGCCAAAGACAAACCGCCAGTTGAAGTTACCGTCACCATCCAGGGATCTGTAGTGGACGTCTGTCTTCTGCTTGTCCTCCTCCATGCCTGGCATCCAACTGGAACCAGAAAAACATGTAAAGTGTTTTCAAAATGACTTTAAAGAGAAACATTAGCCTACGAGACAAAAGTAAAAATGTGCAAACCCTTTGACGTAGATGTCACTCATTTGTTCTCCAGTGATGCTGGTCTCATCAAGAGTCACTTCTGTGGTGTTCCAGACGACGACACGCAGAAGATACCTGAGCAGTAATAGAGCTGGTGTTAGCTCACAGCTAATATCTGTACAGAAGAAAGAGTTACAATCCCTGAATTTACTTCTTGGCCTTTCGTGGTGTGATGTCAAAGGGAGGACCGGGAAGTCCAATGCTTTTTGGGAAAACGTCCACCCACATCTGAAGCTTTCCCTAAAGCAGATTTAAACAAAAGTTATCGCTGAGAGTGTTCACCAGCACACCTGTGGACAGGTTGAGCTGTCTAACCTGAGAGAGATTAGGCTGGAAGGAGCTGTAGAGGGTTCTGGTCTCCACGTGTTCAGGGACAAGTTTATGTGTTCTGAGAACGTGGAGACAGAGTCGTTCATGAGGCGGCCCCAGGTGCTGATGGATTTCCTGGTTGGGTTCTTTATGATAACAAATATTGTACACTCAAGTTATCTGGCAGCACATAAATATGGTAATGTTAGGGTCTTGAGGTCTTACCAAACTGTGCCAGAGTGTAGTCTTTCCCATTGAAAGTGAGCGATGTCCCGTTGTCTTCGGTCCGGGGTTTGGACAGTCCTTTTAGACGAGCCAGGTTCTCAAGGATCTGAGACGGCTTCAGCTGGTCCCGCCACTGGTTCACACCAGAGCTGAAACAACGGGAGATTAACATTAATCCACCTGGATCACTTGAGCTGTTCATGGTAAAAAAAAAATAAATAAAAAATCCTAATTTCAGCCTGTGATGAAGAGGAGGGTGAAAGTGTTTGTGAATTCACCCTCTGAGCCTGCTGGTGGTGGTCAGAGGGACCGGTGGCTCCAATGTTGGGCAGCCTCGCTTCTGCCAGTGTGCCCCAGGCCACCGCATATGACTGTGTGTGTATGTGTGTGTGTGAGAGAATAGATGAATGACTTGCTGCAGTTTGAAGCGCTTTGAAGTACTCTGACTCAGAAAGTATACAAATGAGGGACATTTATCATTTTTCATCATCATTTAGAGTCAACCCAGTTATTTAACATCTTAGCCATCAGGGTGGTTAATGTTAGCTAACGATAAATACAATGCTGGCTATAACTCAGTCCTATTTACAAGTACTGAACTAAGATTTCATGTGATGGTCATTGGAAGTTACTCCCAACACATTCTGTGAAAAACAAAAAATCCAGTAGGATCTTGCAATGTTGCATTAGATAGTGGAGAAATTGACCATAACTTCATCATTCCTCAACTAACGATGACCTAGTTTACATCTGTGGGATTCTACATGGGGAGTGATCTGCATTCCTTGAATCAAAGGTCTTTAATTCATTCTGATGTGCTCTGACGATAAAGTACTATCATATGGTAGCGTGTCCGATATGATACCCTAAAGGTTACAAGCAGATGTGTTTTCCTTACATGCAGTATGTTTGTGGAAGGCCACAGTATGAGTTATATCGAGATAGGAAGCGGTTCTCCAAGTCAATCACCGTCTCGCCAACCTTGTCATCACGAGTCAGGAGATCGTAGTCGAAGACGGAGATTTTAAGGTCCTTGTCTTGGGGCAGGAAACATGTCATCTCAAACATCCTAAACAACAGAAAAGGTTGTTAAACATTAAACTGGCAGCTTTATACTTCCAGGAGACAGTGTAGTAACTTTTAAGGTTTAAAGTAAGTCTGACCTCCCAAACACAGGGTCTAGGGTGTTGGGTAAGTAATTGTCTCTGTCGTCGATTGAGTTTCTTCCCACTGATAGTTTTATGTATGGGTCACACTTAGGAGAGAAGGTAAAGGTTAGGGTCTGAGACATGGATGGCAGAATGTGTAGGTTTTATTTTTGTTTGTAGTACAGATTCATTCTCACCTTTCCATTATTGTCTTTGGGCTGCAGGTCGATAGCCCGAACCACATAAACCCTCACAAGACACTCCTGAGGGCCACTCTCTGGCAGCTCTCTGAACTGACGGGGTGGAGCAGCAACACCTGGGTCATCAGGTAGGGGATAGACCCTGAAGGCCCCCTGGTGATAGAGAAACGCTTCACCAATCCAGGATCTTCAGCTAAATAGTCCAACCTTGAACTCCGGACTACCTTGAACTCCCCCACCACGGAGGGGTCATCGTCTCCATTTTCATTCTTGCCCCGCTGCAGCTTGAAGGTGTCGCAAAAATCCGTCAGGCCTTTGAATTCTGGGACATTCTCCAGCTCACACTCATACACCTGAAATTTAACACCCAGATTAGAGTAGTCCGACACCACAAAAACTAAAATTAACCTATTTTTTTCCGCCACTTACTTTGAGGGTGTCGTAGCCTTTTTGTAGATAAGGTCCACATTTCTCCTGGTCTCCAACAGAGGCGTAGAACTTACTCCACCAATCAACTGTTTCTTTTTCCTACAAATGTTAAGACGTCACATTAAAGCCTTGCACAAAGCTCTAAACTGGGCTGAAAATTGAAAATCTTCATCAATAAACATCTTGTTTTCTCTCACCTTCTCTACTCGCTTTGGAGAAACAGGCAAGAGAGAGAAAAACACAGAAAAGAAGTCACAAATATAGTTACAAATATCAGTTGCATTGAATACATACATAAAGAGCGTGCTATGCAGAAATGTTAAAAGGTGGTAGAGACAGTAAAGGATCGGTTTTGTGATTGGCAGCGATTGTGTTAAAAAGAGCAACAAATCATTTTACCAGAGCAGGAATTTTGTAGCATTTAAAATCTGCTGTCAAAATCAGCTTCTTCAGCCACTGTTTTATTTTCCAAGAGGAAAATGACACACGTCTTGAGATGAACGCTTTCTGTTCTGTTCTAATTAGCTATAGTTTAACAATTTGTAAAATTAGCATCAATCGGTCAATAATCCATGAAACAATTTTTGTTTGAATGACAAATGTGAATTATTTCCTTTTGCTGTTATTTATAACAAGTTCAACAGCAGTTTGTAAATCGCCACAATCCCAATAGCTGCTTGAAACCATAACATAACAATAATTAGACATAACTTTCATTTAATTCATATCGTCGTTTACATGAGGATTAAACAGATTTTTAGTAAATGAAATAAACAACAAAGACTAAAGTTCCACAACCAGACTCGTGTTGTTTGTCTTGCTTAACTGAAATATGCACCAAGGTTATAGAAACTACCTCTTCTTACACACAAGTCTCAGATTCTTAAGCCCCTGCTGTTGATTCAATGTGTTCGTTAAGAAAGTTCCAGATGAGTTAAAGTAACAATGTGTAGTTTTTATCATTAATCCCCGGAAATATCCATCGAAACATTGTTGAAAATGAATACAACGATGTCCAGTCATTGAAAACTATCGACGGCTTTGTAACATTTAACCATAAAAATCGAGTATAAAGTACATAAGAGTGCCATATTAGACGCCATGTTTCCTTCTGGCCAGCTCAGGGTCCGGCGCCTGTTGATGACGTCACTGATTGGCTGGATGTATGACTTTACTGCCTAACCACGTTTGAAAACGTTTATAACAAAACTCTTTCCCAAACATATGTGAAAAAACAGAATCACAAAAGAAATGTAATATATTTTGGCCAAGTGGTATCACAGTATGATGACATCATCAGCAGGCGCAGGACCCTAAGCAGATCCAGAAACTCCAGTCGGCATTGAATTCTCTCGATGGAATTAACTAAAGGACCATCACAGTCTGAGGAGTCACGCCGAGGTCACATGCTTTTGCTCCACAGGTAACGACATTTACCGAAATGTTGATTTAAACTAGCAACAGTCACGGCGATATGCTGTAAAATTGCCCTGAAATGTGTGCACTGCCCTCTAGCGCCAGGAAACTACACACTGCCACGTTAAAGAAAGCTCATTTAATGTGACAACTCCAATGAACGTTAAGAGCAAAGTGACGACATTGTGAAAGCTTGTTAGAATTTTGAGGCAATCATTGGTGTGATTGATTAGATCTGTGGATAATTCATTTTAATAACTAATCATACATACAAAGCAGGAAGGAGGGGAAGTCATTTTGTTGACAGCTGATGACATGCTGTACACAAACTGCAAGCCAGAGCAATCATGTTTGTCAAATTTGAGTTGAAAGACAAATTTTGTTGCGAGAGAGCAGAGATAACACCACATGGACTTTACCTGAGCTTCAAGCAGCGGTCTCGTCTCCTCCATCATAATGGAGACGTGTTTAGGAGGTGAAGCCATCATCAGTGACACTAAGGACAGAAAATGAGTCAGTGCTTTCATCTTTATTATTTAACTGTTTGTTGTTGCTGCGCTCACTCTTAGAGGCCCTGGCTCCTTCTGAAACGATGACGTATGGGTCACATCTGAACTCCTCCAGAGACGTGATGGTACACTGGCCCACCACAGGTTTCCTACCAAACGGGCGGTGGTCAATCACCTTCAGCACAATAGGAGGAGTATACATCTCATCCTTTGGAAGGAGCTAAATGGCGAGTAAAGAGAATAATCATTTAGCTTCCGCTTTTAGGAAGAAGACATGTCAGGTATTATTGACTTCTTTTATTTGAAAATCTTTTTTATTCTTCAAACAATTACAATCCCTTCCGTCAAAGAGATTTTAAGTATTTTTACCTCGGAACACTTGTTTACCAGAAAGCATTTTTCCTCCGTCAATAATACTAACAATCCTGGTGTTTTGTATGATGTCATTCGTTCTGTGTTAAATGTGTAGGACTGTTGTCCTGTACAGGAATCAACTGCAGTAGAGTTCCTGGAATTCTTCATGGACAAGGTTACAACTCTGTGATTGGCTGTGCCTGTAGCAACTGTGCAGGGATTTTGCCAATTCCCCCAGCAGATCTAGCTAAACTGGTGGTTAAACACAGAAGTTATCTGGAAAATGGTTTGCATCTGCTTACGAAGTGTTTTTAATTGTGGCACCACTTCTTCTGGCCATAATCAACACTAGTTCGGCTTCTGGTGCTGTGCAGAATGACTAGAAAATGGATCTTCCACCAACTCTTAAAGAAACCTGGGCTATGTGCATCTTCAACAGTTAACTTTAGGCCAATTTCTAAGCTCCCTTCTTTAAAACAGGTGACGGAAAGATCTGTATGTGGTCAGCTGTTGGCATTTTTAATGAACATTAAAGAAATCTTTCAGTCTGGTTTTAAACCACTCCATAGTACTGAGACAGCTTTGCTGAAGGTCATAAATGACTTTCTTCTGGCAACTGATGGTGGTAGGTATGTGCTGCTTATGCTATTGGATCTCACTGCTGCCTTTGATGGACCATGAAATGTTACTTCATTGTCTAGAGCACACGTGTCACACACAAGGCCCGTGGGCCAGATGTGGCCCGCCACATCATTTAATGCGGCCCGCGAGAGATTCAAGAGTTTCAAAATAAGTCTATGCTGTTTCAAAGCATACGTTGACTATAAACTACATTTCCCATAATGCATGGCGATTGTGTTACCAGTGCAGTGACTCGCCACCTGCTCGCCACTAGGTCACAGTGTATCCATTTCCATGTTTATTTAATGCAACAAGTGAAAATAACTGTCCACACATCATCCCAAAATGTCCAGGAAGACAAAAATTGATGCAGAAGGAAAAGTGTTTCAACAAAGATGGAACATGTTGATGCTTCAAGCAGAAAAGCTGGTATGTCTTTACAGTCATTAGCGTCCATGCTACTAGCGTCAGCATCTGCAGTGTTACCTCCTCTGCCTCGGACAAACTGAAAACGCTCCTCTTACTCAGCACCGAGTTAACTCAGCAATTAGCCAACTTTGAAGCCCAGAAATGGATTTTACCAGCTCAGTAATCTGTTTGCTGCTGACACAGAAAGTGCATAGACCAACTTCCAGACCGAGATGATTTAACTCCAGTTTAGCGACACGCTCAAGTCACATGACTCTGTGGCTGCTGCGGCTTTTATCCCCCTCCCTGACACAACTGCGTGGTCCAGATGCTCTCCATGTCCAGCAGCACAAACCTGTGTGAGCAACTGTTTCTCACTGATGAACTCCTTCCTCAGCTCAGAGCCCAACCCCACAGGTGCAGGTCTGGCTGGAACAGGTGAGCATCACAGGAAATCAGAGTGGAGAAAACTGGGTTTGAGTTATGTTGGTTTTATTAACCTTTTCTGCTCCAAAGCATGAAAGTCAATAGGTGAGATATTGTATTTTCATTTAAGAGAATTACTATTTATTATTTATGTTGTTGGCCTGTGAAAAAAAATTTCACCTACTTTTAAATAGGAAGGATTACAGATAGAAGAATAGAATAGAAATAAAATAGAAAATCCCATAAAAAATATTGAGTTTGGCGAGCGACTTCATCCGTTTTTCATTTTGGCCCAGCGTGAATTTGAGTTCGACACCCCTGCTCTAGAGCATTACATAGCAACTTCTGGCCCAGCTTTGATCTGGTTTTGGTCTTATCACTCAAACAGAATGGTGCGTATATGTGTTATATGCCATGTAACCACTAGAAATGGTCCAGATTTTTCACATAACTGGAAAATGTGCAAAACGAATCTAGATGGTAAGTAGAAATGGTACAGGCTATAAACAACAGCATGTGACTGTAACATTAAATCGTGTTTAAAATGAGCTAACTAGTGGCTTGGTTGGGCTGCTGCTCTGAGAAAAATGCCCCCCTGGCAGACAACAGCGCGCTCATTGTTCTTGTGGCTTAAATTAATCAATTATTAATTTGATCGGTTACATTACACGACCATGATGTTGTTGCTGTGTTGTCGGGTGCAACACATGATCGCCAGGGGGAAAAAAGGTAGAAAACGGGTTAACGTTTCACCATCATGCTGCTTGGAGACAAAACTACAGAGACCAAGTGTTAGACATAAAGTCTGGTTGGCTCGCGTGGATGGCAGCTGTAAGGTGACCAAGCATCACCTTCAGGTGTATGCCACTCTGGATGAGAGCGTGTTCTCTGCTTTTTCATTCTACTAAGTTACAGATGATATACATAGTTTCTTTCATTCAACTGCAACATGCCTACTGACACACACATAGGCTACACACACATACCGGTAGGCACTGACAACGCTACTTCTTCCGCTACACTTCTTCTATGGAATCGCAATTTTGATTGTTTTACTAGAAAAAGCAGCAAATGAAACATTTACCTCGCATCTGGATGTTTACATCTGCTCACACCACAAACAAGATAGTTGAAAATGTCCGTTATGCAGAACTGCAGCGGTAACAAGTTGTCGTTCTAGTCTTGGATCTCTTACATGGATCCAAACCGTTAATGATGCTGATATTGACCACATACCGGTCCCTGACGTCTCTATTTAACGTATCCTTGTATATTTAGCACCCTTTTTGGGATTTTAACATGTTGCTTATTGCTTTTTTTTTTTCGCAAATCTTCGTCTTCTCTGCGATATACTGTTTGTTTTCACAGTTTGTTTACATGTTTGTTTACACTACTGAGGCTATCAACATGTCCGCAACATCCCAGAATGCAACTCGTAATCACGTGTGATCCCAAGCCCTATGAAAACAGCTAAGGTGTGTGTGTGTGTGTGTGTGTGTGTGTGTGTGTGTGTGTGTGTGTGTGTGTGTGTGTGTGTGTGTGTGTGTGTGTTGCCATGTGGTTTTTAATATCCCTATTTCATCAGTCACTCCCTATAAAAATTGCCTGGAGGTGCCACAGCCTGAAAATGAATTAATTACATTTAATTAGCAATTTTACTAATCAACAATGTTAACATCAGAATACGACATTAACTTTAACATTCAAGTTATTCCTGTAAGCTTTAAAATGCCAAACACTTTCCCAATCTTCCGTTTTTCCAGTCTAACCATGGATGCCTTTTTTTTAATTCCCTCGCCTGTGTCAGAAGTAACGAGCAACAAGTAAGGGCTTGCAGGCTACCAACATGGCAGCTACGTCGGTGATGATGACACAATCCCGAGCCCTATTCTGCATGGAAATTTTCCAGTCTGGAGATGTTCTGCCCTTATAATTGCCCTCTGTATCAGTTACCTCCCTCTCAGTTATTGGCTTTGTCTTGATTGGTAAAGATCCTCAGTCATCCAAGTTATGGTATTCCTAGATTTGAAATAAAACAACTGGTCTGCTTTGGTCCTTTGAACCTTGAAAACATTGTGGTTCTCATCTGAGAGGCTTTGTCTGGTCTAACTGGAATGTGCAGACAGTCTAGTTTCAATACTGCACTTCTCGCCCCACATAAGGAGTCGTTGATCTGGTCGGCCATATTGTGTTTGGCTGTGAAGTGTTGGGACCAGATAAAGGAGGGTGTAATTACAAGTGACCTAAACACCACTTAACACACATGTGAATACCTCTCATTCACACATGTAAAAACCTCTCATACACACATGTGAAAATCTCTCATTCACACATGTGAAAACCTCTCATACACAAATGTGAACACCTCTCATTCACACATGTGAAAACCTCTCATACACACATGTGAAAATCTCTCATTCACCCATGTGAATACCTCTCATACACAAATGTGAAAATCTCTCATTCACACATGTGAAAACCTCTCATACATAAATGTGAACACCTCTCATTCACACATGTGAAAACCTCTCATACACACATGTGAAAATCTCTCATTCACACATGTGAAAACCTCTCATACACAAATGTGAACACCTCTCATTCACACATGTGAAAACCTCTCATACACACATGTGAAAATCTCTCATTCACACATGTGAAAACCTCTCATACACAAATGTGAACACCTCTCATTCACACATGTGAAAACCTCTCATACACACATGTGAAAATCTCTCATTCACACATGTGAATACCTCTCATTCACACATGTGAATACCTCTCATATACAAATGTGAGTACATCTCATACACAAACGTGAAAACCTCTCATACACACATGTGAATACCTCTCATACACACATGTGAAAACCTCTCAAACACACACGTGAAAGCCTCGCATACACACGTGTGAATACCTCTCATTCACAAATGTGAATACCTCTCATACACACATGTGAATACCTCTCATTCACACATGTGAAAACCTCTCATACACACATGTGAATACCTCTCATTCACACATGTGAAAACCTCTCATACACACATGTGAATACCTCTCATACACAAACGTGAAAACCTCTCATACACAAATGTGAAAACCTCTCAAACACACATGTGAAAGCCTCGCATACACACATGTGAATACCTCTCATTCACAAATGTGAATACCTCTCATACACACATGTGAAAACCTTTCATACACACATGTGAATACCTCTCATACACACATGTGAAAACCTTGCATACACAAATGTGAATACCTCTCATACACACAAGTGAAAACCTCTCATACACACATGTGAATACCTCTCATATACAAATGTGAAAACCTTTCACACACACATGTGAATACCTCTCATACACACATGTGAATATTTCTCATACAAAAATGTGAAAAGCTCTTATACTCACATGTAAATACCTCTCATACACACATGTGAATACCTCTCATACACACATTTGAATATTTCTCATACAAAATGTGAAAAGCTCTCATACACACATTTGAATACCTCTCATACACACATGTGAATATTTCTCATACACAAATGTGAATACCTCTCATATACAAATGTGAAAACCTCTCATACACACATGTGAAAAACCTCATTTACACACATACAAAAACCAATGAGTTTTTATATGTTAACAGGTCCTGGTTTAAAAGATTACTTGACATACTGATTCTTTACCAGCCCACACTGTCTATAAACGCATGAAACAAAAGGGAAGAGGCCGCAGCTCTCGGTTCAATCTTATAATTTATTTAGGTGCAAGAAAAAAACTAAAGATTTGACAGAATGTCTTCGTTAGAGTTACGTCAGAGTTGTTGATTATGTCTATAAACTTAGTTGGTTCACTGACAATTTTCTCGCTGCTTCTGGCCAAACCTGCTCTTTTAGACAACCATTAATGAGAAATTTGCCAGAAAATCCAACTGGACTAGAAACCTGCATGCTAGAATGCTGTTGAGGATATTTACATATATTAATATCCAGACATTTCCATGTATATTTCTGTGTTGTAAGAAGCAGAAATGTCTAAAAGACTCGAGCTGCTTTAATATTAGTTTAGCACTGTCATCTACGCTGGGCTCAGACTAGCTGTTTGCTCATCACTCCTGTAGGACATAATCACGGTTTTTCCAAATTGAGTCTTTTTCAGGAAGCCATCTATGAATGTAAATGAAGTATAAATAAATGTAAACCTTTAGTTTGCAGTAGCTTGTTTAACACTATCATTACCACTTTGATAAAGAGGACGGAGCTGGGGAAGTTTGGGCTCTTTTTCATGTTCTTGATGACCGCTGACTCCACCCTCTGGCCCCCACACTCCACCACGAGGCTGGGGGAGGACACAGAGGCCAGCTGGTACGGCTTCATGTTTCTCAGGCCCCAAACGAGTATCTAAAAGCAAAACACACCAGAGGCATTTTTAAATGAGGCAAGAAGTCTTTTGATTATGTACTGTGTGAACTTTGGGCTTCCTGACAAGGTTGCGGAAGGCGCTTTATAAATAAAGCTTTGATTGACTGATTGATTGATTGATTGATTGATTGATTGATTGATTGATTGATTGATTGAAGCTGATTATTACCTCCACAGCAGTGAGCTGAACCACAGGACGGATACCCTGAGGAACCATGTAGAGGTTCTCGGCTCTCTTTGAGGGTAGCAGTGGAAGATCTGTCTGATCCGACTTCAAGGAGAGGAGACATTTTTATTTAAAATAAGAGTGTATAATGCACATAACTATTCATTTTTATGGTAATTTCATTGCAAACCTTTTCTTTAAGAATAAGTTCAGCAGCTACAAGTGCTTCTCCAGCCTTCTTCCCCTTCTGGATGACAGGATGCCACAGCAGTTTGGGCAACTGGCCCATGCCAGATTTCAGCTTCACCAAAGGGGTGCAAACACTGCGGCCAAGCATCTCATCTTTGCCCTGCAATGAGGATCAAATGTTCTTTGTCTGCCATTATTATGAGGAAAAGGCCTTTGTGGACCGTGTTTGGAGGACCCTTCAAATCAACCTCGTCACTTCAATGTGACGTAATCTGCCTTCAAATGTGGCCTTTGAAGGGCGGAATCCCTGAGGGGCGAGGATGGGTGGTTTTTCTTCTGCCTTAGGGGGTCCCGCAGGGTTCGATACTAGAACCCTGTTGTTTTTTATTTATGTCCTGCCACTGGGTGACATTGTGTGGAGGTATGGAATTGGCTTCCATCTTTATGCTGATGTCTGCTAGAGATTGCCCGATCTGTAGATTTATAGATTGTTTGGCTGAAGTCAAAGCATGGATGGCAGAGAACTTTCTGTGTCTAACTGAGAGTAAAAAAGAGGCAGTGTTGTTTGGACCAAATGTTTATGTTTATGTTTATTCATTTAGCAGACCAAATGGTCATTGGGATTCTTCAAAGGTGGACTGTGGTGATTTTAATACCTGAGTGTTTCTGCAATCAATCTTGGTGTGAAGATGGACAATGCTTTCTGCTTTGAAGCTAACATTAGTACTGTGGTATCATCTTCCTTTTATAATTTGAGATTTTGGCTAAAGGGCAGCTATTTGAATTGTATTTGATGGTATTGTAGCTCGCCTGCAGCTTGTTCAAAATGCTGCAGCAAGACTTGTGAAAGGCAAGAGAAACTTTGAACATGTGCCACCATTTCTGGCTGTTCTTCATTGGCTACCTGTCACTTTTAGAATTCTATTAAAGCTTACTTTAATTGTGTTTAAGGCACTGAATGGATTGGCTCCAGCCTTTTAGACATAGTTGTTGCAGCCGTACGGTCCTGCTCGGGCGCTCCGCGCCGTTAACCAGCTGCTGCGTCTGGCTCCGAGATCTTGGCTGAAGCCAAGAGGGAATAGGGCGTTCTCTGTAGGAGGACTGAAACTATAGAAAACACTTCCCTTATCTGTAAGGCCCTCTTCATCAGCAGCAAATTTGTAAAAACAAGGCTGAAGACCTACTTTTATGATCTGACTTTTAACTCTGTGGGTTAGCTTTTGCTTATATTTTACATAAATTTACTCCAATTTTTACTTGTTGGTTTGTAATTGTCCCTGTTGGTTTTATCTGGTTTATTTTGCTATTGTACATCACTTTGGTGGCATGATTCATGCCTGTAAGGTAAAAAAAAAAACTGAATTTGGACACAGCTTTAATCAGCTGTACATGTTCACGTAATGAAGAATTTCTGGAAGTTTCAATAAAATCCATTCAGTAGCTGATGAGATATTTAACTAACAGGCAGATGGGGTTGCTAAGGTTTCTGGAAAAGATCTTGCAGTTTGTAGAGCTCGGGGTTTGATGTCCGCCTTTCAGCTACAGGCAATACATTATTTAAATTGTTTCCTGAAAGAAAAGATGAAAGAAAACATGAAAAAGTACATTTACAAACAGAGGGGAGCCTTTGCAAAGATATACACCACCACACTCGTCTACTGGGTCTCCACGTAGTTTCAAAGATGTTCCTTGTGTGTATTCACTGACAGTTCACCTTCATTGAAGAACAGGTCTACATTAAGCTCAACCTACCACTTGGTCATTGTCATAGAACTCCAGCACCACGCGAGGTGGGCGCTCAGCGATGACCTGGGGGTCTCCATAAATCTCTATGTTGTTGAAAATCAGGGTTTGGTCCCATGTTGGGTTCAGCGTAGCTTTGAGCTTCTCTGTTGTTTTACTGACATGAAGGAAGGAGACGTGCGCGTATGGATCTGTAATATTTAAAAAGCACTTTAAAATTAATATATTTACTAGGAACATCTTGTCATCACTAATTATATTTTTAATTTTTACCAGAAAAGCTATCTTTGTCCATAGAGGTCAGGTTCCTTGCCTGATAGACGTAGACACGGAGGTGGTACATTGATGACTCTACAAAGAGCAAAATAGTTTCAAAAGGAACGAAGCACTGTTTGTTGTGAACAGCCATCCACATTTCCATTTGTGTTGGCTTTGTGTCACTCACTGTCAAAGGAGCAGGACACCGTGGGAGTGTTGGCCCCAAACACCTTGGTGCTATCAGCTTTGGATCCCTTCTCTTTCTCCTCAGTGTCAACACCCTGGAGATCAAAGCAGACAGAAGTCTTTCAACTGAAGTATTACACTCCAAAAAAACAGATACTGCGACTGTGGCCGCACTTGACTCTTGGGTAAATATTTGTAAAGATTTGAAAATATTTGGTGTCTCAGAAAGCGTACAGTCACTTCCTGCTTCCCAGACACCTCTTGACAATCTATTTTTTAAGGAATCTGCTTGACTCTCTTAATTAAAGTAGAATGCTGTTTGTTTCAATTTGGTAACTGTTCTTTGGGCATTCATAAAGCATATGAAACTTGATGGTGCTCAAAAAAAATTATATATATATATATATATATATATATATATATATATGTGTATATTTGATTCGGGTTGAGCTTGCAGGTGTAAGCAGGTGTGGCTTGCTTTTCACCTGTTATTTTCTCAGAACCAGCAGTCTCTCCCTCACCTTTTCATGATTACTAATTTACAGTTAAAGTATAGTCAAAGTCCCATTAGTTGTCACAATGATGTGTGAAATTTGTTCTTCGCATTCAACCCATCCCCTGGGGGAGCGCTGAGCTGCAGACACAGCCGCGCTCAGGAATCATCTGGTGGTTTAACCCTCCCATTCAAACTTCAATCTTCTCAGAAAAAAAGAAGAAAAAATATATAGATAAAAAATCACGAGGCGCTTTACAAGAACAAAAACTTTGAAATATAATTTTTTTATGATTATTAAAAAATATGTTTCAAATTACTAAAAATATAAATTGTGATTTAAAAATGTAAGGAAAGACGAAAATCTGTGGATCGTGGGGAAAGGCGGAATAGGTACAAAGGGCAGAATAAGGAGAGGGTTGTGATGAAGGTCACACCAAAGCTTGAACAAGTGAGTTTTCAGCTGCTTTTTAAAGGAGACCACTGAGTCCACTGATCTCAGGCTCAGGGGGAGAGAGGTCCAGAGTCTGGGGGCCACAGCAGCAAATGATCTGTCTCCTTTGGTCTTTAGCCTGGTGTGCTGCACAACCAGTAGGCTTTGATCACTGGACCTCAGGGACCTGCTGGGGGTGTAGGGACTAAGAAGATCACCAATGTAAGATGGTGCTTGTCCATGTAAGGCCCTATAGACCAGAACCAGGACCTTGAAATGAACCCTGAAGTTGACTGGCAGCCAGTGAAGCTGGAGGAGAAGCGGGGTGATGTGGGTGTGTTTGGAGGACTTGGTCAGCAGCCGAGCACAGGCATTCTGAACCACCTGTAGACGGTTCAGGGAGGTTCTGCTCAGACACGTGAAAAGAGAGTTACAGTAGTCTAAGCGTGAGGAGATGAAGGTGTGGATAACTGTCTCAAGTTCAGAGTGGTACAGAATGGGACTCAGCTTAGCAATGTTCCTGAGATGGAAGACGGAAGAGCAACCAAGAGAACTGACATGAGAATTCAGGGTGAGGGCTGGGTCAAAGGGAGGCACTGGATCCCATTTTTAAAGTCTTTGGTATGACCTGACTCTGGATTTGAGTCATTTCTTTGCAAAAGAAGACTCAATTTTCTTTACTCACCAGTGCCCCTTCCAGCTGAAAGATGGCACATGCTCCGAGATGATTCTCGGGCGCCATCTTCCGTCTCCAGCGCCTGCGTCGAAATGTGTCTGAGGAGCGCTCGTTTCTGTGGAATTTCCAGCCAATCAGAGAGGAGAATTCCCAACCCTCAGGGTCACCCCGATCTCTCCTCTGTGCGTCAAAAATAGCAACTGGTGAACCTTTATATTTACTTAGAAGAATTCAAATTGTAGTGTATAGAAATCACAAAAATCACACCCCTCTTAAGTGGAAGATTGTATTTATCAATGCAGATTTTATTTTAGGACAAAAGAGGAATGTTTGCTGACCTCCAGTGCTGCTCCTCCAGGAAGTGCAGCTCTCTTACGAGGTCGAATGAGCCTCATTCTGCGATGGACGTGGTATACCTTCTCTGCAGGGACCCAGGACCGAGGCTTGTCATCTGGAGGAATGGTCACTCCATATTCCCAGCCTTTAGAGAGAACACACGCACCACACACACACACACACACACACACACACACACACACACACACACACACACAGAGAGAGAGAGAGAGAGAGAGAGAGAGAGAGAGAGAGAGAGAGAGAGAGAGAGAGAGAGAGAGAGAGAGAGAGAGGATTATTACCAAATTCATCAGTTTAGATTAAAAACATCCCTCCAGCACAACATGTACTTCTGTTTGGAAGGACAGAGCCAAAAGTATAGATGCACCTTGATCATCCACAGCTCTGTTGACATCCACGCTCCAGTCATCCTGCCATGTCCAGCCTGGAGGACAGTCAAACTCCGCAGGATTACGGCTCATCTCTCCATTCTGTGCCACACAGCAAACCATGTTATCTGGATTTCATCTTCCACTCATGTACATCACTACTAAAGGCAAATTAAAGCCATAAATATCTGCTTAATATTCATGCATGAAAGTCCGCGTGTGCATTCCTGTTTGTCAAGAATACTAGATCTAGATTGTGCACTGATGTCATTTGCAGCAGCCCGGTGTGATATTTGCATCTGGGCTCACCACGTCGGTGTACGGCTCAGAGGCGGCCTTCCACTCTCCACCAGGGAAACGGGTGTCATTCTTGAAAACCTCATCCATAAATTCAGTGTGTCCTGCATCCGCCTCCGCTAGCAGCCTGGACCAAATCCACAAAACATTTAACATTTAAATGAAATAAAAATTAAGGCACCATTCAAAACCTATTCAAAGTCCCTTGGATTAGAGGTTTTTTCCTCCGGGTGGTAGCATCACAAAGCAAACGTGCAACATCACTGATTGTAAAATCTTGTGCAGGAACATGAACGTGCACCAGTGCCATGACAGAGATACCAGAGTTTGCCAGATTTGTTTTTATGTGATGAAAATATCTAAGCTGATAAACTTACTTTACCAACTCTACTTATATAAAAGTGAAAATGACCACTTCTCTTTCTATTAAAACTGCTTAACAAAACACGAAAGAAAATGTACTTATCCTATGTCTGAGTATGCACATGTTTTACTTTATCGCCTCATGAACCAGTAGATGGATTTTAAAGGTCAACTTTACTCATATTTTAATACATTTGGAGTGGGTTCTGCTAAGAATTAATACCTCTTAAGTCATACTCTGGGGGTAAAAACACGCGCCTGTTTAAGGATGTAGAATTCAGCTGGAAGAAGTAGCTTCAGACGACAGGATTTGGAGTCTTATTTCCTCATATTTGGATATCTCACCTCTGATTGGCCAACAGCAGCATGACTCTACCACTGACTCCATTTGCTTTGCAAAATTGATGTTTTATCTTCACAAATAACACAAGCCTGGAGGAGTACTGCTGTGTGGTGTTGTTGCTAATGTTACTGGTTAGCTTCTACTAGTGGTGACGTGCGTGTTAAACTCAGAGGGACTAGTCATTTTCAAAAATAGCGAGTAATAAATGGTTTCCTAGTAAATGTGCTCATTAATCAAACTCTAAACTGATGAATTCTGTTTAATTCTAAGACTCAGCTTGATTGAAAATGAGCACCACAGCTAATTAAGTTCAAATTACTTGGTACATTTCTATTGATAAAGGCTTTTATTTTGGTGTTTTAGTAGTCATTCAAAAACACACAAGGATATCTTAAAACTAGCCAAAAGGTGGTCAGCAATATGCGTTTGCCATCACAGTGAGCTCAAAGTAAATGTTTTAATAAGTTGTGATTTATCTCATTGCCAAAACAGGCAAGATTCAGCAGTTACTACTCCAAAGATGAAAATGATCCCCACCTGGAATGCTGGGAAAGCAAGCCAGGAGCAGCGCATGATGGTCTGGTGTGCAGAGACTAACAGGCTTAAGGCGGACAGAAGCAGATTAAGGAGTAAAAAGGAAATTCCAGCTCACTGTAACAGACTGGTACAAGCAGTAAACTCCAGAGCAGTAAAATGTACACAGATGTAGCCCTCAACCTTCAGCCTCAGTTTAGAAGAAAAGACCCCGAATCAGTTGATCAATCCGCGCTAGAACCTCCATTGAATTAATTCATGGTCTAGAACTTTAAAGGGGTTCTAGAATTCTAAACCACAGGTACCACAGTGTTTCCCCTAGGAGTTTTTACAGCTGTGGTGGTGGGGGAAGGGGGGGGGTAACGCCTGAACATCGCACACGATGAAATTATGACACATCTTACCTTTATGTTAATATTGTTTTATTAGACGCATTCACTTTGAACTGCACCAATCCCGCAACTGTTGCATTTAAATAACTAGTATTAAAGATGAATACACCAATATTTGCACAAGAATCATTTTTGTTTTAAACTCTATTTGGCACACTTTGCAGGGGGCGGGGTGGGCATTTAATTTTTCTTGGTGTCTGGAACAGCATCTCCAGGGCCCTGTGGTCTGATTACAGAACCATTTTAAATTTTAACAGGGGAAGACTGCAGGAGAGAGCGGTAAAACACAGGGGCTCCCCAGCAAAAACAAGAAACTTTACGAGTCTGATGAAACCCGCTGATTTTCCATCAGGCAGTCACGGGGCATCTCCAACTAAAACAATTCATATGTAAATATCTTGCATATTGATTGCAAAATCTCTTTTTTCTGCTGCTTTATTGCTGCAACAACATTTTATTAATAAGAAATTATTATACCATTTGTTTTATTACAGCATCGGTAAGCTTCCTGTGCACGGATTATTAAGGATGCTTGTTTCAGCTGTGAGATTAGACGATAGAGTCAACGATTTAAAAAAAGTTTGTCATGGACTCCATGGAAACTTCCAGAGAATCCACAAATAGTGGATTTTAAATGGTTTTGTTACTGACAGATGTTTGTGAGTTTAGAAAAGAAACAGATGAGACGACGTGTCCGACTATTTTGTTTTACGTCGGACAATACTAGAACATGTCAGTGATGTCTGAGGTGTTTCTATAAAAACTGTATAACTAACACCCCTGGACAGGGTAGGAATTACACAGAGGCTTCTGGAGGAACCCAGTGATGGAGGGGGTTCCGTTTTGCCTTGGCCCCCAAAATGCCTTGAAACGGCCCTGGGCGTGTGACTGAGTTCTGAAGGTGATCTGAATTGTATCAGATGTATAAATATTACATGTGTATAACTTAGTGTTTTATACAGGTAAAAATTTGTGGTGGAGATAAATCCACCTACATTTGACTTTCAAGCTTTGTTTTCTTGTTTTTATTTAACCATTTCCTGTCCTGTCTGTCTCTCATCTTCCTGCGTCTCCTCTAAACTCTCCAGAAAAACTGCTGCCTGGATTCTTACTTTTTCACCTCATCAGTTACTTTTGAACTAAGCAGATCAAAGGGATCTCCTGACCGCAAAGTGGAGAGTGCGTTTCGATGCTGCATCAGTGAGGTGAAATCACCGCAGCACACGATGAGCGGAGCGCGTCAGGAACGGTTAAAAGACAGAGTACCAGAGGATTTAAACAGATATGAACGATCACGTGTTAATAATAATGTTGTGTTGCACCACCTTGAGAATGCATTGTGCGTTGACGCAGCAGGCGCACCAACGATCAGCACTCTGCGTCTTCTCCGCTCAACAGAGTCCCGCTACGCTGAGAGTCCATAAATATTGTAATATAGGCAGAAACTGGATCTGTCCCTGAAAGATATCTCCCCCCATAGCTCGATCCCTGCTCCTGGGTGAATAAACGGACATTTTGATCAATGTAGGAACCCCCCGGACGCTCCGGACAGAGAGTGAAAAGTGGACTCGTCCAGGGGAAAGAGGGCGTATCGTCACCCTAACAGAAATAAGTGAAGCTTAGCCTGGCAGGGGAGGAAAACCTGGCAGGCCGCCAGGCTAATGAGCACTGGGGGTAACCCCCGTCAACACATCTTAATGCTGTTGAAACATGTAAACCTAAAAACTTTATATCC